AACTGGTATTAAAACTGACGATCACTTTAGCTCTATGATACTAAATTATGACGTTATAAAGATGTATATTATTATATCATAAACAATTTGGAATGGGTTTATTATGATTCAATACCAATGTTTTTTAAATTTTTGTTGTAACTTCGAAATTTTTGTGAATAGTCTGGTTTTTGTTAACTGTCTATAAGTACGCGTGGCTGGAGGGTCCTTCATAGTATATATCAGTAAATATTAGATTATTTACTCGTTTCAAAGTAAGAGCGTTAATAATACAAGAGAGCTACGCCCAAATAAATGGACACGTCTGTTCGCAGTACAGTACGGTTTACCGTACCGTCAGATCACAGTCTACAAATATATTCACACCAAGCGAAGCAGTACAGTAGGACACAAAATGGCGTCCGATGTCCGCAGAACGTTTAATGACGTCATAGCAAACAAAAACAAATCTCACAGAGCTAACAGAAATATTTAAAATGAATAAAAGTAATAGCCTTCTGGGGAAAATTTTTATCTTTAACCACTGAAAATTTCAAAGCAATTGGTCCAGTATTCGAAGAGAAAAGCGATATTTTTTGGCCGCGGGGCAAATCCGGCCCGTTGGTATTTCAATCTGGCCCGCCTGATTCTGCCACAACCAAACTAAAACCAAATTTTAATATTTTAGCTAATAAATAGCTCAAGGAATTTGTTGAGATTGCGATTAAATTTAGTTATTGCATGAGGCTTATTGTTTTCCACTTTCTCCTTTGTAATACTGTAAATAAAATTCTGTTAGTAAACTTTTTACGACAGGCTGATATGACCTGCCAGTCTAAGCGGGCAAAAACTTTGGGTGCTCCCGTATTATGTGCACCAAGATGGCGCACAACCTGAACATAGCATGTTTACCAAGTTAAATTCAGGTTGTGCGTCATCTTAGTTCACATACTACGGGAGGAACAACTTTTCGCTACTGGTTCAAAAACCGTGCAAAAACCTGGTTCACAGGATGTCGGAAATGTAGATAATTCGTGGCGTATGTTCCCTGTCTATAAGTGCTCGTAGCTGAATGGCCCTCAATAGTATATATCGGCAAATATTAGATTATTTACTCGTTTAAGCAAGGACGTTGATAATAAAAAGTAAGGATTTCAAACCATGGGTGGATAAAATTTCACCTATCTAGACTGGCGGGCTATGTGGGTGTGCGTGTGACGTACAAGTTACATTTTATGAACAATATTTACAGTGTTACAAAAGTAAAGGTGGAAAACAATAATCCTTGTGCCAAAACTAAATTTAATCGCAATCTCAACAAATTTTCTCAGTTATTTTTTAGCTGAAACATCAAAATTTGGTTTTATTTTGGTTGTGATAGCATCGGGCGGGCCATATTGAATTACCCAAGGGGCCATATTTGGCCCGCAGTTTGCCAATGCCAGGTTTACATTGATACCGGAAATGTAGATAATTCGCGGGGCGTATGTTCCCTAGAGTAGCGGTTCCCAAACTTTTTGTTCGTGCGCGCCAATTTATTAGGGAAAAAACTCTCGCGCACTTTCACGATTTAAAATGCTGCTTTCAAATAAATCTCAATTTTACGATTGTTAATGTGTACTTTATTCCTTTTGAAATTTTCTGCCATAAGGGAAAATATACGGGATATATCCTATATATATATGGATACCATATTTTTGTGACTTCAAAGCGGGACGCTCCCGAAGACCATAGCTGTGATTTTATCAACTTTAAATTTACCGATTTCACATTAGGGGCCTACATTTAAAACCATCCCGGCTGTCTTCATTTACTATATTGTCATTGAGAGTTCATGCGCTGCCTAAAAATATAAAGGAATTTACATTAACGTTAAGCACCCTTTTGGCGTACGGGCTCACACTTAACAAATTGTAGCAAATATTGTTAGCGAAAAACGACGAAACAAACAAAATCACGCATTCACCTTCAGTAAGTAGGCTACCAATACGCTACACAGCAACAACAGTTACGAAAACATGCTAATTGGTAATGCTCGTGTATATTGATGACCGGTCGGGACACCGGGGCAAGACGTTGAAAAGGGGGAAAAAACCGTCAAAAAACACTAGAAACCTTGCTAAAACGCTTAAAAACAGTGAAAACCGTCAAAAACACTAGAAACCTTGCTAAAACGCTTAAAAACAGTGAAAACCCGTCAAAAAACACTAGAAATCTTGCTAAAACGCTTAAAAACAGTGAAAATCGTCAAAAACACTAGAAACCTTACTAAAACGTTTAACAAGACTTGTATTTCATTCCTACGCAATTGTACTAAAAAAACGCCGTGGCCCTCAATCCCTTGCTTACCTCGAATATACTGATCTTCTGTACAAAGACCCGCGACAATGCAAAAAGATTTAGGAAAAACATCCCCTCCGCGTTTTAAAACAACATATTGGTTATTATCCAAGTGAGGTTAGGGTTAGAAATGATTTGGACGTTTGAATTTCCCGCGCAATCTGCATTCCTGGACTTCACAATAACTGTATAATTACCAATTTGTTATTTTAAACTTAGCGGGGCGTTTTTCTCAAATCTTTTTTGTAATAGTAATGGGCGCTTTGTACGAAGATCCCAGGGCTCTTGCATATCTTCAATATACTGCTTACATAAAAGCCACAAACCGCTACTGAGACTGGCTTTTATTAATACGATGTCTGGCGCTCCAGGAAAGTGTACAAATATGGGGGTAACTAATTTTGTTCGGCTATTTTACATCAAGTTGTGTGAAGGGACTGAAGCTTTTAGGCAGGTTATATTCACTTGGCTAATACAGACAGTCCCCGAACTCGTAATAGAACTAAACTAAGAAAAATCGGAATAAAATTATGCCCTAATACTAATCTGGTACACATACTACGTGTGTACCCGATGTCTTTATAAACTTGACGGTAGCGGTTTCATCTAGTTAGCTATGCTCGCGTTGATTCAATGTTTTTATTTTGAAAAGGCGTTGTTACATCTGGCAAGCCTTGTTAGCAGTGATAATTGCATTGATAACCATCGACGCATAATCAATGACCTTGAATAGGAAAGCTACCGTAAATAAATTAAGTTTAAAAGTATTCGACCAACGATGGCGACTGTTTGTCGTAGTAAAAGGTATCAGAAGCAGTATTCATCAAACTTTTCATCATCACGACCTACATGGAACTGCCAATTTTTTTCGTGACCCACGGGAACCGAAATAAAAATAGTTATTTTGTCGTCTATTAAACTGATTACGTAATCAAAATAGGATAGAGCAGGGGTGTGCAACCTTTTTTACAGGATATTCAAGTAATTAAGTGAAGCCGCGGGCCGCACCTTTAATGGACACGTCAGTGTACATAACGATCGTTCAATATTATGTTGTTGTTCTTGTTATTATTCTTCTCATTCGTCATGATGAAATCGCTTTTCTCTTCGGATACTGGACCAATTGCTTTGAAATTTTCAGTAATCAAAGATTGATTTTTTTGGCAGAAGGCTATTACTTCTACTTCTTTCAAAAATTCCTGTGGACCTCAAGACATTTGTTTTTTATGTGCCAGGATAGAAAATAGCGACACCTTGTGACGTATCCATATATTTGAACATTCTCTTGTTTAAGATATCCTTTCTAGTAGTTTCATACACAAAAATGTTTTCTCTTGTCATTGAACATACGGTATGTTAGGGTTCATTTCGGAAATAGTGAGTTAAAACGCATAAATTGCTGAAGAATAACAAAACTAAAAACACGTTTCGCGGGTACACTATTCAAAATTGGCATTCACCGCGGACCGCACAATATTTCCTTGCGGGCCGAATCTGGCCCGCGGACCGCAGTTTGCACACCCCTGGGATAGGATGCACATATATTTATCCCGGGGGAGAGAAGAGCCGACACAACTGCTTAATTATATGGCGAATCAATCAATCAAATCGTTTTTTATTTTTATTAGCCTCTCGTCCAATTACCAGTACTTAAGCAGATAAACTTATACATATGCACCTATGCCAGGTTTGCAGGCGACATACGGGATAGACAAGAATAGTTGTGATATTGAACGCTAATAAATGGGATGGATTAGGTTATTAACCTTCTACTGTCAATGAAGCGCAACCACCTCATTGGTTTTATATGCCTATGTTTGTTTATATTTCGAAATTGTTTTGTCGTCTTGTCCGCATTTTTGAATGAATTTGGGAGGTAAATAGCTGTGCGATGGCTGATAATTTTCAACGCGCATCACGATTTGCCCATCGTTAAAGGATCCCACAGTTTGACAACCGCTTAATTGGAACTAAATCACTACTTTTGAAATGTTTAAACTTAGATAATTACCTCCGGGTTGTGTGTGACAAGTCTGGAAATAAAACTAAGGGTTTTGGTGATTGAAGCTTGACGATGTGGTGCACTGTGCTAAACGTTAGGAATACGCTCGCCACTGCTCCTGAGATTACCCTGCATGGGTTCGAAGGTTCGGATCCCACGCGGGAATAATTATATGCAAGAGGTCTGCTGGACTCCTCGCTGCCGTAGGGTGGTTCACGTAACCGCTGGTCGATTACGGCTTCCTCTATCGGCAAGTCCATGCATCTGAAACAAATAACTTCCTAACTAATCCCATACCATTAAGCCGTTTCATCGACTTTCCTATACGTAACTCCTATCCTAGTAACAAGACGAGAGGTTGTGATTTGCCAAATGATTAAGCCGGCTTAAACATGAAATTTCTATTGTATCCTGCCCTCGTTCTATTTTGACCATTCAAAAATGTAATTCCGAGTTCATAAGATTTTCAACATCGAATCCAAACTTTAAAATAGATCCCAACAGAGTAAAATAAATTATTGTCAGTTTGCAAGCTTTTTTCAATGAAGTTTTGTCTCTAATCAGCGGTTGCGAAATTTTAATCTAGCCGGATAGTTTAAAATTTGACTCCTACATTTATAAATTTTATGGAAATCGAACAACCGCGAGATGACGCTAGCAAGCAATAATATTTATTTTCTCTGTTCAAGTGGTCCAGTCCTGAAAAAGTTTGATATACATGGATACGAGCCCCTTCGCCGAAGTCGCGGAAAATTTGTCAAAGAAGGGAACGGTGACCGTCACAGGGAATCAGCTGACGTTTGTCGTCGATAATTTGGCAGAGAAAGTTAAGAAGAGTTCCAGGCTGATGTCTGATGATGGTGAGAATTGTGGTCGTTTACAAGTGATTTTGATGTGATTTCCTGTTTCAGTGTTTATTCAGATTTGTAGAAAGGAAACCTTGTACAATTAAACAAAAGAATAAATAATTTATTAAATTGAAAACACATGGAATTTCGGTAGAAAGTAAAAAAATTTGAGGGGTACCAAAATCTGAAAAAAGCATCAGGTTTTCGACTAAGCAATCCCAATAAACAATCAAGTAATGCCCACATACTCAAAGTTTTTGTTGTCCCACAATAAGTCTTAGTAGCGCTTGGCTTTCCAGTGTTCACGCTAAAGCTAAGATCTGAAGCCAGGCCGGGTTGGGCCTGAATTGTCAATCATTACGTTCGGGTCGGGCTTCTCTATCGCTGACGTTTTTTTAAAAATAGATATATGTTCATAAACAATATTTACTAAAAACATGCGTGGATACTAAACTAAGGAATACTGTACTAAGATCTTGCAATGCAATTCAAAGAACTCCTAAATAAAATATGAAATTTCGAGTTTGCTTCAGGCCTGCGAATCCAGTTGATTAGCCGGGCTCGGGTCGAGTTTGATACCCACGGGGTCGGGCCGGAATTTTTGGACCCGACCTTACCGCTAGTTCACACATAATTTTACTCAGAGATGAGTTTCCTTCACTTTGCAGTGATTGGCTGTTACATTGTGTCACGTTTTCAATTTGTTACTGTGTTTAATAAGACTCGAGATTGGCTATTTATTGATACGGCAATTCTACACTTAAAACAGCAAACATACCGTATATTTTCGCACATACGCCGAGTTTAAAACACAAAAAAAAAGTTGCCAAACTAAGGGGGCGGCTTATACTCGCATAACTCAGATTGCATAAAAAAAATCGACTCATTCGCGCATGACTTTGATCACGCAACGAGATTGACATTTAGCTAACTTGCCGGTAATTCCAAAAGCTTCAAACCGCACTAAGTTCTCACGATAAAGACATGTATGCACACACACAATCGCTTGTGCCGGTGTGATTGTCTCATCATACAGCTGATGGCTTGTACAGTCTGTGATTGGTTGTTAAACACGTGACGCTTGTACAGTCTAATTGGCGTCGATTTACGGCCAGCCGTTTCGTGGTGAAACGTTATCATTTGGTGCACTATCGCGGTACAACGCAAGTAACGGCGCCCTCATTTTGATCACCTTTACGATATGTTATCCTTTTCAGTTGCGCTGATAAAGACTCTTATCTCCGTTATAATTGAAATATTTACCGTTACATATGCATGACATCGCTTACGCTGTTGAGGTAATGACACAATATTTAAAATTAAATGATAAATAAAATTATTCAAATCGCATTACGGAGCAACATCGAAATAATGGAGCTTGTAAATATGTCACAAAACGACATTCATTCTACGACGTTTGAAAATCCTTTTAATAGCGACTTCCGAATCAGCGATTTATAAGAATGTGTTAATACAACATTCGATTAAAAGAAATTGTTTTATGCTGATCCCTTCTGTTTTAACCCTTCCATTAATACAAATCACCGGGCATTGAAAAGCAATATAGACGTTATTAACATAAATTTACAAGTAAGAATCAGGTAGAATAATACCCACAGTCACAGCATTAATTCTTAACAATAAAACTGTAATTTCAATCATTTTGAACAACCATTTAACTGAAAGGTTGAAATAACATATGAATATGGTGTGATAAATACTGCTGTACGTCCATGGGTTAGGCAACAGCTGTGTTTTCCGTTTTTTTCCTGAATCAGCAAAACCGAAGGGTCATAAATCAATTACGTTATCTCGTGGTAGCGTTTTCTTTCTGAAGTGCCGATATCGGGCAGGAAGTGCTTCTCACGTTTTTGTTTTTAAAGGATTAAGACAAATAACAGCTGGTATACAAATCCAATTAAATAATCGGCAGACACTTTGGCATACATTATAAAATATATCAGCCCATATATGAAGCTTACACAAATCATGTTTGAGAAGACTTGCGAAAAATAACCAAATTTATTGCCGTTGCCGCTCAGGATATCTCGACTACGTTAATATAAAATAAAGGATTGTAAAATATTTTCAATCAAAAATGTTCTCATGTCATGTTCGGTACTTCAAGTCAGCGCTGATTTAATTCCTTTTATGTTGACAAGTAATTTAGTTGTGCCGCAAAGTGCTGTCTTCCATTACGATTTGTAGAAACGGCGTATATGCGAATTTTTATAAATTCACTATTTTGAAGCTGTTATTAGGGAGTCGGCTTATTCGCGAGATCGGCGTAATTTCGAGAAAATACGGTACCTTTAAAGCAGCCGATGTCCTGTGATCTCTCATATCAGGATCATTGCGATGAGAAAACGAAAGAAATAGTTTGCTCGATTTCGAGTGATCGTCTGCGCATGGAAGGCCTTATTACGTCGTAGTGACATAATTTTTGGATGACGTAGTCAGGTGGGGGTTAGGAATGACATATGCAAAAATTATCGAGCGAGGCCAACTAGAAGTACTTGTTGTACTAAACTATATCAGCCCAGAAATTCCTTAACTATCTTTATTTTTTAGATTCTAGTCGGCGGACGTCCAGTTGTTCAACTCCTTCCACCAGTGGATGGTCTGACGTACCAGCCATTGATGGAGGTATTCTTGAGAATTTAGAAAAACAGACTCAAAAATTGTCAGAAAGTTTGGACAAAATTATAGAAAAGTTGACAAAGAAATTACACGAGGTAGGTGTTGGCATAACCCAAGCTGATTGAATATTTGAATTCATTTATAATCAAAACTTTAGGCTTTAAACACGTAACCGTTGAGAGCCTTGTTGATATTGGCATCACAGGTCAGAGTTCTAATTCTTTCACCTTACTCAAGGCGTGATGGTTTTGATTAGCAAGGTCAATCTGGAATGATTCATGCTCCAAATTTCAAAGCTCTGTATAACCAGTTGCTTCTTATATGGGCCATTCCAAGCAAAAGTTGAATTCATCAATTTTTCAAAAAGTGTAGTGAAAGTAATTTTTTTTTATTTTTGATATCAAAAGACATTGGAATTTTATTGGACTGCATTCATTTCATCGAACAATTTAAAATTTCACCCAGGTTTTTGATGGTTTTTAAAAAATGGCCTGAAATGTATAAATTTTGGTATAATTGACATATTTTGTGATGATTCCTGGCACAAAGGGTTTGATTGTGTGGTACAGTTATTTCATATGGAATTGGGGCACTGGATTTAAGTTAATAAAGTTTAAATGTTTGCAGTGCTGTAGAACAATTCTTCACTTAACGATTTATTACGAGAATTTTAAGAGATGATAGATGCCGCTGTTCCGAAGTGGAAGAATGTCCTGTAGTGTCACGTCCTGTAGTGTCACATACAATATGCACATTATTGGCATGGATTTACAGTGTTACATTAAGTAACTTGAGCAACACATGGAGGGGTAGTTCAGCTACTGCACCAGAAAATATTATGGGCTCCTACTGTACCATCGCAAAAATTTACAGCACAACACAACGTATTGTTAGCGCATGGTGGATTTGCCGTCCTGTAGTGTCACGCTATATTTTACTATATTATCTACTAAGTAAGGTTGGGTGTAACTTTTGTGCAATTTTTTACATATTCAATGAAGCGACTGATTGGACAATGAAACAAAACATGTAGCTGAAAATATATTGAATCTAAAAACGTGCAAAATTTCTGGAATTGTCCCGTAGTGTCACTTGGAATAGCCCAGATAGGGTGTCCATAAATTCCCTTTACAAATTCAATTTTGTTATGAAGTCAGTTCTCAATATATCTTAACCTGGTTTTGTTGTATAAAAAATTGTATTTTCAGACCTCAGCGATAACAGTAGGATACTGCCAAACATACAGCGACGCAGCGAACACTATGGGTGTTGAGGCAGATGAGTCTGTCAAGTCAATGTATATGCTGATTGCTCATTGTGAGGAATTGGACAAAGCAATGGCTCCGGTTTATAAGGTTCATAGCAAAATGTGAGTGAAATATTATTTTGAGAGAATTGTCTCGACTCAAGAGCAAGACCACACTTACCTCCTCCAATGAAAAAGAAATTATTCATATAGAGTTTATCCAATATTATAGATCTGGCATGAGCAAACTACTGCCCCCAGGAAAATCCGGGTCGTTGCATAATTCAATCTGGTCCGCCTGATGCTGCCACAACCAAATGAAATCAAATTTTGATGTTTCAGCCAAAAAATAGCTCAAAGAATTTGTAGGGATTGCGATTCGATTTAGTTGTGGCGCGAGACTTATTGCTTTCCACTTAAGACTTTTGTGACACTGTAAATATTGTTCATAAAATGGTACTTTTTATGTCGCACTTACGTGGCCCGCCAGTCTAGTTGTGCAAAATTAGATAAGATCTTATGAAACCTTCATTTTAACCTATCAAAATCCAGCAAGTAAACCATAAAAGCCTTTTTCCAATTTCTGAAGATCGTACAAAACTGAGAATGTTTTATATTCCGAGTACAATATTTTTGAATATGAAATATTAAATATAGAAAAAGTTAGGGGATTTTATTCACTCAATGAGTCAATGGATAGTTTCAAAGATAAATGGAGATTATGAAGAGAGTTGGTCAGATAATGAAAGTGATGAACTTTATTGTAAAGTAAAAATCAGGGTTCATATCTCATACCCGCAAGCCTCTGTCGAAATGTTACAAAAATGATTTGTGCAGGTGTGCAGCAAGACTCTTACATCACTTAGGCTAGTCATCTTCACTCTTGCTACAACCTTCTTGCATTATATGCATCTACCAAAGCGGAAGCGTACAAGAATGATAGGTAGCTGGTTCTGCGGAATCCCAAGTTTCCTAGTAGCAATAGGTTTTTGTATTCGTCTAGATTCGAAAGTTTTTTTTCTTGTTGATTTCCTATTTTCACATTTTAGTTCATATGATTAATTAGTTACAATTTTTCTTAATTTATTCCATTTTTTTCAGAAAGCACATCAAAACCGTCCTGGCTGCATTGGAGTCCCAGGTCATATGACAGAAGAAAGAACTAAATTTTCAGAAAACGTTCAAGAAAGAACTTAAGGTTGAAGATCTAATGATCAAAGCAATTAGTGCACTTATGCGTGGACAATATCATTGTTTTCACTGATTACGGTAAATCAGTGTTTCTTTACTCCTGTAGTATGTGTACCAGTTTAGGCCATAATTTTTTTCTGATTTTCCTTATTTTTAGTTCTATTACGAGTTCGGGGACTGTGTTATCCAAGTGAATATACCCCCTGCCAATAGATTTCATTCCTTGTACACAACTTGGTGTAAAGTAATGAGGCTTGACTCTAATCTGGTACACACACTACGGGAGTACCCAACTTTTTCACTCATCACATGTGCAGACAATGAATGCTTCGTTTGCAGTAAAAATGTGACCCCAAGCTGAATCCACATTGGACCAGATAAAAAATTCGGCCGCACCTCGTAGATTGTCTTCACACGAACCATTTTTAGACCTTCCGTGCGACCCATACTTTAAGAACCACTGGACTGAATCTTTCACTCTGCCATCGTGCTAGTGAAACCAACCAGGGCTCTGAATCGAATTGTGACTCAAACGTTTAAAATTTCAGGAATTGGAATCTAGTTTTGCACCACTGTTGTCCCATTTGGCTAGGTTCTCGATTTTGCGAACCAATCATATTCCGTATTGTATTGCATGTTGTCTATGAATAACCACTGTGAATTTAAATATAGAATCAAATAAACGTCTCATGTAAAATGTCATTGCATTTATCCTAGAAGAACGGAAAGCAGAGGGCTAAATCGCATGATGACCTAATCATATCCCCATGAAGTCACCTGAGGATAAAGGAAAATAGGTTCGCGCAGTTGTTTCCACCCTTTATTGTTAAATTACTCCCCCAATATACATAATGTCCAATCCTTGATGAATCCTCAGCAAGTATTCAAAATCACACTTTTGTAGTAGTAGTGATAAATAAAATTAAAAATATAAGTACTTATATTCCTCTAAGAATTTCTCTTTAGCTGGAGAGGGTTAGAGGCAGTGGTGGGATTCAGCCGGAGAACAGACTCGCGGAATTATAGAACCGTCTCACAGAAATTTTTGAGATCAGCGAACCGGTTAGCATCACCGGTTATCATCAATGACTTTTTGTAACAGAACCGGCTCAAAAAATATGACTTTTGTGATGGAACCGGCTGACAAAAATTTTGAATCCCACCACTGTTTAGAGCAGGGTTTCCCAACCTTTTTTGGTCGTGGACTATTTTCTCACCCGCGAAAACCTCTGCAGACTCAAAGTGCGTTTATTGAAATCGTACTCTGAGCGAAGAAGCAAAAAATCAAATACAACAGAATTGTAACGAATTTCAAAATCGGAAATTCGGCTCAATTACACGTTCGTTGAAAAGAGACGACTTTTTTAGTGTATAATTGGCTTTCTGTCGCACAATATTCAATCCAATGTCTTTCTATATTAGTTTAATTGTGTTCATGGTAACTCGCGGTTGCGTCGACTTACGACAAGATGAAAGCATTTCTTCTTTAAAATGCCAATCGGCAATCTGCGAACATAATAATGTAAGAATATATTGCCCGATTATAGTTAGTTTTGTTACATATTTTTGCGATCTGGCGAATTTGTTATCGTCGTTAGAAAAATCTCACTATCTGTTATAAATTTCCAGAAAGTACAACTTGATTCAGTACTTAATAATAATATATTTGAAGTATATTAGTAAATGAAAAATGAATATTCATCGCTTTGCTTTATTATTAATTTAATTGTGATCATTTTAATCTGCGATTGTGTTGGCGAAATAAAAGCAATACTACTCAGAAAATATCATGACAATCCGTGGACACAAAAAATGCGTGGTAAAGTGCCCGATTATATATATTTTGTTTTGATTCCTATTTTTGTGAATTCCACAAATCTGAGCTGTTCGTACAACACTTACCAGTACTGTACGACGTTTCAATGTTGAGGCAGTAAAGCAAACAATCCCAAGGGAGAATGCCCAGGTATACGTATACTACGGTAGCACCCGAAATTTTGCGTTTTGCAATGTCTAAAAAAGCGTTTTTAATCGGTCGCGGGCCATCATAAAACGAAACTTATGGTGTTCTCCGTTTTATTTTTAGTGTTTTGTATTGCCGCTTTTTAATTTGGAAAATTCGGGTTGCCACCATCTATCGATGCGTGTGCCGACTTGTGTGTTTTCGTCGAAAATTCGTGAGTGAGTTGTGAAATCCGATCGTTTGATTAAGCGACGCGCAGTGCAAGTGACCTGTCGCGTCACCTGTTACCAAATTTTCGAATATTGAATTGCTATTCTAATAGTTGAATATACGAATATATGCCCAGCCCTACTCAGTAACCAGTAACTATTGACTCGGTTAATGTTATGAGAATAAACTTGCTTTTTATGTTTTATGTAAATTCCAACGTAAATTGGCTGATAGTTAAGTTCCGCAAAATCATTTGCGTTTCGCACGAATTTCTGGCTCGTTGCGGCCTCATTCAAACGCTCCGCGGACTCATCCGACTCGGGTTGCGAAACACTGGGTTAGAGGGAAGGCGAAAGGCACCTTTATCGTTACTTTACTTTTTTTTTATCCAACGGTGAGAGGATTAGGAAATGATCCTATGAGAAGGTTTCTGAGATTAAACGCATACCTACGGAAATACAATTAGTGCTACTTTGATTTGCGAATGAGACAACTTACCAAGGTAGTCTTAAGACACTAAGATTGCTTCTGAAGTGGCACCCTTGCCCTGTTCATCTTGCTAACTAATTATCATGTATTTACAACTTATACCAACCAGAATCGAGGGAAACATATCAGAAAATAACTAGAGGTGATCTTTGATGACTTTTTTATCTTGGGTTATTGCTTCCTAGACAGAATCAAATGGACACTTAGTTAGACAATCAGCGTCATGAAATCGTCGACGTGTCCTTTCTGAAATTTTGGCATTGCTTTTCTTGGTAAAATCTTGACCTTAGTCGAAAAAGACGACCTAGGTACCTCTAGTTTTAGGTAACGCTTTAATAAGACACATACGCTGTGCCGAAAGACAGCCCGATCTCACTATCATGTCCAGAAGAAGCTATCTGCGAAGGTTGGTCAGCTCAACTGGTCAGAAAAGACTAAGAAACATCACGCACCTGGAACTGGAAGATGTCGTCATCTTCAAGACGTAGACTAACATTTTCATAACGATTTCCGTGGAAGAACACTTCCAAAACCCAAGCAGAAGAAAGTGCAAGCAAAGCGTAATTTCTTGAATTCCCGATGCTGTAATTTTTTGTTGTTGCCATCTCTATGGTTTGAGCAATGAGTCCAGTTTGTTTGATTTCATTCAGAACGCTCTGATCAATCATGCTTTTTCCTGTGAAGGGAATTATTTGGACACCCTTTTATTGGGTGGATTTCCACTACCTAATTCTTGTCAGCAGATTTAGATTCTTCATCTACGATTTAGTGCTTTGGCAGCCTATCTGCTTTATTTCTCTCTTATCCAGTGGTTTTCAAACAGTCGAGAGCTACCCACAAAGGGGTGTTTACTATTTTTTGAGGGGCGTGAAGCAAAATAAAAATACTTGTTAGATTTGATCTTGATATTTACGCCCCATCCACGTATTTTTAATGAAACATACTTGATTTTACCATCTGGTATTTGCAGCTCATTGTTAGCTGGTTATTTTTGAAGTGGGGCACGCAACTTGACAAATTCTAAAAAGGGGGAAAGGCGAAAAAAGTTAGAGAATCGCTAATTAACATGAGGGTACCATCATCTGATAACATTGTTTACAAATATTTTACGACCATTCATATTTTAAATTAACATCTTTATTAAAGCTTCATAATAGCAACAGTGTCTTATGAACTGGATTAAATATACAAACATAAAACTTTTTGAAAAATCTTGAAATTTTATGCTGAATCAGCACAAATTACATCATACTTTGATACTGCCGGTACAGAAAGGTCAGGATTCGGAGTCCGGTCAGCCCTGACCTACCTAATTCATATAAATGGCAATGTCAAAACATTAACGAGAATATCGGTCAAAGACTTATGGATCGAAATTTAGGGGATCCCCCAAAACAGCGCTCTCACTCCATAGTGACACCTTGTGTCCCATCACTAATTAATTAATACCTCGCTAATTATACGACATAATGCATCCAAAATCAATAGGCTTCTGGTAGACATATGATGAATGCACATGCAAAATCTGGAGCAGATTCAATCTTGCTTTCGCGAGATATCGCATGCATCCAACGGGCAAAGTAAATACTACGAGAGGCTCTTGGCTAGTCTTCGAACTGATAATAGGACTAAAATAAGGAAAATTGGAAAAAAAATTATTGCCTAACCCTAACCTGTTACCCATGTTACGTTCCGATGTCCGCCATCTTGGTTTGCATACTTCGGGAGCACCGATTTTTTGAACTGAGGAATTAGACGACTTACACAGGGTATAGAAAATTGAAATTAGATTTAAGACAAAATATCAGTCCAGTATGCTACAAGCCAGTGTTTATAGGAAGCGCTCGCTCAGTTTTCATACTGTGAAGGAGCTTAAATTCGATAAGATGGCACACCATGGTGTCTTGTTGGAGCTACCTCAGTATGTGCACCAAGATGGCACACAACCTGAACATAGTATGTGTATCTTGGTGCACATACTTCGAGAGCGCCATCCTGTTGAACAGGAAACGAACCTCTGGATCGTTTTGTTATTATGTTGTTGTTGATTATTATGTTTTTAGAGTTTCTTTTTGCGTGAATAACCGCTCTCATCATCAACTACTGAATCAATTGCTTTGAAATTTTCAGTGGTTGAAGATTGTAATTGTCACCAGAAGGCTATTACTGTACTTTTATTTATTTCAAAAATTTCTGTTGTTACCTGCAGGGGCGCAGCCTGGATTTTTCCGACGGGGGACGTGAAGACGAAAAAAGTCTGGCAGTGTTAATTGCGCTACGGTGATAACGCACAGAATAATATCGCTTTGACCGCGAAACCATTATGCACGATCGTAAATGACTCTGTTGCTTTTTTATAAATGAAATTTCAGATAAAAAAGTTCTTAAACGGGGGGGTTACGACCCATGTAACCCCCCCGCTGGCCTGTGTGGGATTCGTTATTTGTATAGATTACATCATCAAAAATTTTGCACCCCTTGGCAGTTACGTTTTGACTTTTTTTAGAAATTAGAATTTTTTATATTTCTGAGGGGGGGAGCGGCACGAAAAAATTTGATCGTGCCAAGTAGGTCGTGACGAAAAAGTTGGACACTACTCTTGAATGTGACAACTTTGGTACATATAACTCTTTTGATTAAGTATGAGGGGGAAGTAGATAAAACGGCTTCAAGCGAAACACAGCATCTTGTCCTGTTACCAGTTCAATCCATGCGCATCACCTATTCTTCAATACGACCATAGACTGTGCTCTCATTCTTGAAATAATCCATGGCACTACGGACATTACAGCTATAGTTCCTGATAAAAGGGGTCTCGCACGAAGCCACCCAATTGCAATTGTCGTGAGAGCGAGTGAAAGAGATAACGTGATGTTGAACATTGTCACGCTGGCTGATATAATGGTTCCAAGAACTGGTATCCAACCAACTGTAAAATAGTAGATGATTTTTCAAAGATAAAATAGTGAATGTTTTTTTAAAGATGAAATAATAAATGATTTTGAATTTATCTTGGTACAGAGTACAGACTATGAGACAGTTTATGATAAATGATATCCAAATAGTAAATTATTGCCTCTTGTCCTGATACCATTTCATATTGTAGAGGCATCAAAATTTATTCGATTCTGGTTATCCCTAAGCCATTAAGCATTGGAAAAATTTTTTATATTTATTATGAGGTAGAGGAAATACGACGAGACGACAGTTTGTGCCCGGCTACGGTAATAGGATCATCTATCTATCCTGGGAGATAAGACGTCTTAAATTTAATCATGACCTCTTTCTACACTTGCCAGTTCATGTCAAATTTGGGATGAGCTGGCGAGCTATTTATTTCGAATACGTGGTTTTGTTGATGAAGGGAGACGAAACAGGCTACTGGCCAAATGAACCATCACTGCACGCTATCTCCCCGCTCATAATTAACCCCACAGAATTGGAACCTGCATACCCACCCACACAAAGTCAGTGAAATAACGAGCATGTTCCTAACCCTTGGCAAAATGCTTCAAATCAGTGGAACAAGGGCCAAAATTAGAAGCGGAAAAACATTTGCGGGCCAGGCTCTAAATACAAGGCAAGGTGTTGAGATCTGGCACCCTATCAACTGTAAAAAGTCCTAATACTTACCCAAAGTTTTTATTATTTTTGTCATGATGCTGAGACCCAAATACATCATCACCCATCCAAGGAATCTTGATCCCCAGGTCAAAGCAGCGTTAGAGCTCTTCTCAGACTCTATAACCTGAAAAAGGGGGATAAATACGCCTATTATTTATGGGCTAGTGGTTAGAGCAAGGGTTCCCAAAGCAGGGGTCGCCACCCCAAATTGGGTCGGAGTGATAAGTAGGTAGGGTCGCAAACAGGTCATGGGGTCGCTGAGGTATAGTAGAGGATGGATGTACAAAACATCTAAGATTTGACAAACCATGTTAATTTAGCAGTTTGTACCAAACAGGTCCATAGGCAACGCTCTATGCTTAGGCTATAGGAAATGTAGGTGCTTATTGTGACATCATTGTTTGGTTTTAGTTTATTTTACTCAATACCATCACAAGACCAAACTCAAAAGTTCAGTGAAAGAAGCTCCAAAATTAGATTGACCTAGGGTCGTACTGGACACTTGAAAGTTGTCTTTGGGGTCGTCCTGAAAAAAGCTTGGGTTGGAGCAGCGTTTCTAAAACTGTGTTCTGCACTACACTGCTGTTCCGCAAGCTTCTTCAAAGTGTTTCAACGGATAGGGATCAAAATTGTGACTGAATTGGTCACCATGGTGATCTCGGCCATACTCAGCATCTCTGGGTCATAGATTTGTCTCCAAACTAACGGCAAACAGGCCCTCTTGCCAGTCTGGATAACTTGGTTTTTTCGTCAGCCGTTCAATATTATTAAGCGTCCTCATAATTTTCTTATTGTCAAGTTTACAGGCTAAATCTATTAAACAATTCTTCAAGGCTAAATAAAAAGCAGTGACCTTCATGTCTAATGCAGCATATTCAGCTCTTACCGATATGACAAAAAACGAGTCGAGACTTGCTGTAAAGTCACAATTTTGGGAAACTACGGCTTAGATTAATGAAATGTAAGCTTATAAATGTGTTTGCTCTGAGGCTCTGATCTACCAATATGAATAGGCACAATTTCCCCTTTAAAGTCAGATCCTAAGATGACATAATAAAACGAATATGAAGAGCAATGATTCGATAACACAAAAAAAGCCTCTCTACTGACCTCTTTTGGTGATTTTGAGCCTCTGTGCAATATCTCAACCCCTGTGCTTCTGATATAGTGTGTCACGAGTCTTCCATTCGAGTTTTTGGCGATTACTGTGACCTGGATGGATAAATAAGTTAGTCTCGAAGCATTAGCATCAAGTCCATGCTTCCGAAAACAAATAACAGGCCCGACCAGTCTTGGACTAGTGACTTGACAAGAGGCTGTGGTCCGCCATAGGATTAAGTCGTCTTATCGGCTTTCCAGGATAAATATGAAAATCCGGGGCTCCCGAAGTATGCGAACCAAGATGGCGGACATCGGAACGTAATATGTGTACCAGGTTAGGGTTAGGCCATAATTTCAAGTATAAATACTACGGGAAGCTCTTGGCTAGTCTTCGAACTGATAATAGGACTAAAATAAGGAAAATTGGAAAAAATTTATCGCCCAACCCTAACCTGTTACCCAAGTTACGTTCCGATGTCCGCCATCTTGGTTCGCATACTTCGGGAGCACCGAAAATCCTATCCCGACCTACTCCTTTTAACTATGTATCGTTTCTGCATCAGTATAACAATGCACCATATTGACAAATTTTATTGCTATGAAACAAAGAATTGCACAATCAGCATTATTTCAGTAGTATTTGGCATTGCAGTGGTCAATATCAATATGTAGGCAATGCTGGACTATATTAGGATAAGATTTACATACTTATCCCGGGGGAGAGGAAAGCCGATAAGACGGCTTTTACCATATGGCGAACCACGGCCTCTCGTCCGGTTACCATTCCATGTCGGGTATGGGATCAGTTGGTTACTTGTTTTTCAAAGCATTGACTTGATGGTGGAGGAAGCCGTAACCGACCAGCGATTACGTGAACCATCCTACGGCGGCAATCCTCTTGCACATAACCATCCTGCATGGGATTCGAACCTGCGAACCCACGGAGAGTAATCAGAGGTGCGGTGGCGAGCATATTCTTATTAGCGCTTAGCACGTTGAGCCACACACACGCGCCAGCAAAGATCTTTACTAGGTACCATTCCCCTCAAATACCTTCATCTAAATTAGGGGTTTAGTGTTTCATTCGACTTGTGTCTGATGAAACTAGGACTACAGTTTGTATGAATACAAATTTCTGTTAAAAATATTGTCATGATGAACCGATCGTTACATTGTGCTTCTTGTTATGATAGAAACTGTAGCCTATAACTGTTCGACTAGCTGTTGTAAATAAACTGTTTTTCATATTGAGAAACGAGCCTTCGGCCCAGTAACCGAGTCTAATATCAGTAACTGGCTCACTCAAGTAATTGCCTACACCTGATTAAAAGTAAATTGACTGGTGTTTGTTAAATTCTTTGACTGTTATGCATTTACTCTTTTGCTATCGTTGGTTTTTATTAGTTAACATTCATTGGTGCACATAAATTAGCTGCTAGAAACCGGTTAGTAGTTCCCAAATACTCGAAGAGTTTTTCAAAGGGGTAACATGGGTAACCCACTGTCGTATACGCTAACCTCATCTCTCAGCCCAACTTTAGTTTCCCCGGCTATGCCGACATATGTGAAGAAAACTCTCGCATCCCCAACATCAGGACTGTATGGATCTCTTGCATGGTAATAATACTTCTCATGTAGTTCTATATCCATTGTTTCGAGAGGCTCTGGGAGGCTGAAATATATTAAAACAACTTGATCATAAGATGGAATTTTCATATTTATCACTAGAAATATGAAATATGGCGAGATAGCTTAATCGTATAGTAAACCACGGCCTTTCATACAGTACCAGCCCATATCGTCTAGTAGTAAAATGATTTATAATTATAAAACAAGAGAGCTATGCTCAAATATATGGACACGTAGCGCCATCCAATGGCAATAATTTTGATGATGTCATAGCGAAAAAAAAAGTAATAGCCTTCTGGAGAAAAATTTCATCTTCAACCACTGAAAATTTCAAAGCAATTGGTCCAGTATTCGAAGAGAAAAGCGATTTTTCAAAAATGATGGAGACAAATAATAACAATAACAACATAATATTGAAACGATCTTTATGTCCACTAAACGTGTCCAATAAGTAAAATTATTTAGATGGTCAAAAAATACAGTGTGTGCTATTGCGAAGACATCTCATAAGTGTATAATTTGATAAACGAGAATATCGGTCGGAGACCGAATACTTATCGATCGAAACAGTGCTTTCGATTCATGACTCTATAGTGACACAGCGTGTCCCCTCAGTAATTAATTTATAACTTGCTAATTAAACGACATATTTCATCCAAAATCAATGGGCTTCTAATCCGAGCTATGATGAATGCACATGCAAAATTTGGAACAGATTCAACCACGCCTTCGTGAGATATCGCGTGCATCTAACAGACAGACAGACAAGTACCTATCAACATACTTACCGATCTAAAGATCGATAAGTAATAAAGCACACCTGTGGTTATCAAGCTCATTTGATGCATCCACCCACTCAATATACATAAAAGCCCCTCATTCCGCTTGTTATTTAATATCTAATGCAGAGGTTCCCTACCTTTCTCGTCCCTTCGCTTATTTTGGAAATCTTTATTTTTCCCTCATTATGCATAAAAATAACTTGTTCCATATTTAATAAATTACTATTATGCGCACCCCCGCCTTTGTACTGTTCAAGTAGCTTATAATGTGTGCGTAAACAAATAGGCAAATAATACTAGTAGTAATACTACATTCATTCGGTACTCCCGTAGTATGTGAACCAACATGGGTGACACCGAAACGTCGTATGTGTACCAGGTTAGGGTTAATAAGCCATGATTTCAGATACAAATACTACGGGAGTCACCAAGCTAGTCCCCGAACTTGTAATAAAACTAGAATAAGAAAAATTGGATTCAAATTATGGCCTAGCCCTAACCTGGTATACATACTATGTTCAAGGGTCCGCCATCTTGGTTCACATACTACGGGAGCGTTCAAATACTAAGTGAAACCTCCTCTAAGCACAATAAAAATTCATCCACTCAGGGGTAGGCAATAACAAAGAGGGATAATTCCAGTCCAACCATAATTAGTCGATCTCACTCAAAGATTGCAATTTGCAACACCTTAAAAGGTCTGTAGACCAGTTTATCTTCCCAATAGCTGTTTTTGATAATTTTAGGCCATTCACAGAAACTTCTGAAGCAGTTTGATGGTAATTTGAGACCGGCATTTCCCTGTGTATAAAAAAGAATGGAATAAAAAGTAGCTGAGCCAGAGAAGCCAGAAGTTAAATGAAGATAGATATACATGATGTACATAAATTCCCTTTACAGTTTCAATTTTGTTATGAAGTCAGTTCTCAATATATCGTAACCACTAACCAGGTTTGTTGGTTTTTAATCAATAATTGTTCAAGTATTTTTACTTCATTTAATACATCTGTGAGGGTCAAAACAATATACGTTATAGATAAATTCCCTTTGCAATTTCAAAAAAATTTTAAGAATTCATGGACTTTATATTGATAAAGAAATAGTGCAATGCAAAAATTCTACTCACTTTGGGTTCTCATGGCCGAACTCCTCGGCAAAATCTCTGCTTTTATGAACAATATGAGACCACTCAGTGCCATAAGTGTAGGTCGTTTCTTTTCTGAGAATAGAAAAATTGGAATATTTTTTAAATTAGCAGTCGTAACGGATCTAAACATAGTCTTCGATTGTATTAAAATAATATAAACATAATAATATAGACTTTCGGATTTAGATGTTTTTTTCTGAAAATAGAAATTGAATATTGTTCAAATTTGCGACCAGTTTCTAAACTGAATTTGAATAATATAAACGGAACCCTTTACATAATAAATAAGAAACGGCAATGATCAAATAATTTACTATGCGTTAGTGTTGCATAATCCTAATGCAATAACTTAAAAAACTTCAATGCAACAATTTAATTGTTGTTTATCATCCTGTAAGAACTTTAAATATACTTATATACATTCACATGACAGGTGAAAAATCTCCATTGTCAATTTAGCAAAAACAAAAGATTTTGAACAAGCATACTTCATTTATCCCCCCTCGACTAAATCAATTTTCTTTTGTCCCCCGCCTCCAAAAATGATATATTCGAATTTACGTCACGGTATTTTTTATGAATAAACCTACTTTATTCATTTCCACCCCCACCGAAAATAAAAAAATAATTTTGTCCCCCTTACAGACAATATATTCAAGCTCACTTTATTTTTTATCAACAAACTCACTTACTTTACTTACGAGAAAAAAAAACATATATTTTTCAATGAGTTGATGAAAATTCTGTCACAGAAATATATTTAAGCTTACTTTATTTGATTTCTTTCTTCATACTCCTTCACTTCAGAATGTTCAACCCATTGAAACATTTCAACATGACGTGACAACTTAACGCAGGGTAATGCTACTGGATATTTTGGATCTCCAAGAAGCTGCAAAGAAAATAGAAAGAAAGTTGGAACAAAAATTTGCAAATAATTAGGATCAGGGTGGTCTCTGCGGGCCACAAAATCATTTTTGCATTGTTCGCGAGCATGCAGAGATCATGTAAGGCTATCATCTGCCAAGATATTGCAAAAAAACTGAGATAGATAAAACAATCCATTTGATAAAAGAAATGACACAAAATGTGATTTTTTGATTACTTCCCGAATGTGACGGGCGGGGTTTGGACCACCCTGATTTAGATGCGGCTTCGTAGATTGGGTGAACAGACCCCTAAGGGGGATGAGAAATGTTTTCCATGGGTCACGGGTAAATGCCTTTACTGGGTGAAACCAAGCCGCAATGCTCCAGAGAAAATACAATAAGTGTTGAAAGTCAGGAAAAAATAATTAGAAAGGGGGTGGGCAACATTTTTTGTCGGTGGGAATATAATCAACTTCAGACATTTGGCTGGGCCACACAAAAAAATTAGCGGGAAAGGCAAGAGAATGCGGCTATTGCAGCGTTATTGTACTAAATGCACCTGGCAAAGCGGCAAAGATACAGCACAGAAAATCATTGTATTCTTATCCCTGTGAGCGCCCTTCCAAACATAAACTGTCGGATTTGAGTGTTGAAACTTTATTTTGATGACGTCATCTCACACAAAAAGCAATCCCACAAAACAAGGAGGCCACAAAAAATTGAAAAAAAAGTAATAGCCTTCCAGTGAACAAAACAATCTTTAACCACTAAAAATTTCAAAGTAATTAACCTTGTAGTTAATGAGAAAAGCGATTTTTTTTCCTAACGATGAGAAGAAAAATTACAAGAACAACAAAATAATAACAAAAGGAGTGTCCAACACTTAGTATCCAATAAGTGCATAATAGTGACCAAACCCCAAGAAATATGAAGTAAAAATTCTGCATTCTCTCTCCAAAAACAACTAAATTCTTCCCTGGGAACCAATACCAGGGCTCGGCAAGGTTTTCGGACCAAAGGCCAACAATTTTTACCCCCTAGACTAGTGGGCCATGTAAGCGTGAGTTGAAAAATTAAATTTTATGAATAATATTTACAGTGTTACAAGTGCAAAAGTGGGAAACAGTACGCCTTGTGCCAAAACTAAATCTAATCTTAACAAATTCCTCCTAATTTTTTTTAGCTAAAACATCAAAATTTGGCTTCAGTTTGGTTGTGGCAGCATCAGGTGGGTCAGATCGAATTATCCAATGGGCCGGATTTGCCCACGGGCCCACCATGTCAGGCTCATACACTTACCCTGGCATCTAAAGGACCAGAAACATGAACCAGTTGACCATCGGTTCTACCGATGTCTTGAGCACTGTGAATTGGTGTTGCCAGATCTAATACTTCTTCAAGTACAGCTACAGTCTCTACTGATCGACTCTGAAAGACAATAAAAATAAAAAAATTTTATAAAAATGAGTTTTATCAAAGTGATGTCCACATTTTCCTTACTTTCGTTTAGATCAAAAATTCATTCACTCTACCAATGTATGAAACCATTATCACACACAAGGTGAACACACATTACAAAAATTCATAAAAGTTGCTCAAAAGTATGTGAACAACCTTGCGACGTCACAGGATATAGACATCTTTTGTAGTTTCGTACCTCAAGTACTTCTAATGGGAATAGATAACAATTTTTGCATATATGTCAATCCTAACCCCTACCTGACTGCGCCATCCAAAAATTACGTCACTACGATATCACAGTGACGTCATTCAAACTATATGAACTGTCATCCAAGATATTTCTTTCCCTTACTCGCCGCAACAATCTTACAATCCCGATATGATAGAAATCGCTGCCGCTAGTGAGTGCTGTATCGTCTGCGTAGATGCCATTTCGGGCGATCATGAGTATATTTTGCAAGCTCTAGGGTGGCTTACCCACTTTGCGGCCAAGACCTATTTGCGACCATCAACTTCATCGATTAAATTAATGCCGAAAAAATTAACGAACCGAGACGATATTTCTCACGCCTTATTGTCCACTTATCCCTCATAGCTCTGCGAAATTACACTAAAATGCGGCCACAAACAAAAAAGTTACAACCGAAAACCTGACCGAAGAAAAAAACGGACCATTTTTCCATGTCGCCAAGTACCCATTGTCCCTTTGAAAAAGCTTGAAAATCCATACAAATATAAAGAGATAAAAAGATGAAACTTGGCAGGTGGGTAGAGTTCTGTTTCTTTTAACCATCTTTGAAGTTTCGCGTTTCTACATTTAAAGGAGGGGGAGTAGGGGGGTGCGCATTTCCAGTACGTCGATAATAGCATTGTCAACCAATTTGCAACCACCGTGTTTTTGTTTGTTTGATTGCTGTAATGCGGTGCTTTGATTATAATTTGACGAGTTTTGTTCAAAAAAACCTTGTTCTTAAAATATATGACAGTCAGAAATGCAATTAGAAGCTATTTTTTTCACGCATGGCTGCGTATGCCCTAGTCTCGACGCAGCAGAAATGATGTTCAAGGCTTGAAATCCGTGGTCGCACACTGGTGGTTCGGTCGCAAATAGGTCTTCAGAGTGTCGTACTTTGGTGGTTTGTATAGCTTTAACCCCTGGTCGTAGAAAGTTAATTCGAGGTTTAGCGCGTAGGAGAAATGCCCATGCACCTACGGTGAAAAAATTAACAGGTTAGAAATATGGGTTTTTGTTTTATAGCGGTTTGAATGAAATCGTCCGCAGACTGGCTACACCACCCTATGACGTGATTGTGATGTCATGGTAAGTTTTGGATGCCGTAGACAGGTGGGGGTTAGGAATGACATATGCAAAACTCATTACACTATGCCCACTAGAAGTACTTGAGGTATGAAACTACATAAGACCCGAATATAGCAATCATCCTCTGTAAAATCAGTATGGCACAGTTCTGCGATTTCAAGAACATCCCTCATATCCAGACTGGATTCCATGGCAGGTGCACGCCCGAGGGCGCTAGCGCTCCGCAAAAATGCACGCGAGCGAAATCAATTTTGCACGCCGAAAATTTGCAATTGCTCACCAATGTAAATCGGTTTAAATGGTTTTAAAATCAATAATCCAGTAATATAAGATGCCAAAAATATTATAAACTCCACAATTGTCGACAAATACCAGCCTGCAAGATTTTGGTCTGATCGAAATATTGCGAAGCAAAAAGACCATGGACCTTTCCCCAACCTTTGACCCGCGAAAAATTCCTCTCATTGTTACGTCCTTTTTTGCATCTTGCTGATTGGCCAATGTCACGAAGTAAACAAGGAAGTCGATGCTCGGGGAAAGGTCCATATCGTGTTGAATGATAGGAAATAGGAATCCCGTGAGAATAGTTATGGACGAAAAGATTGCCTCCGCACCAATGCCAAGTACGGCTCTGATTCAGCGTATTTTTCATACAATAATTTTACACGAATGTACTGAACAGTACCGGTATCTAAAGTTGCTCAAACACTCCCAAAATTAGTGACAAAGTATGAAAATAATGTTTGGGTCAAAGGTCAAACGTCCATTTTGCTCTAATTGACGTATTTTTTATCCATTAATTCTAACGTAAAACACTACCAAATTAATGACAAGTATGTCCATTTTGCTCTGGTTCAACGTATTTTTTATCCAATAATTTTACAGCGGATGTACTGAACAGTACCGGTATCCAAAGTCGCACAAACACTCTCAAAATTAGCGACAAACTGTAGAAATAATGTTTGGGGTCAAAGGTCAAACGTCCATTTTTTTCTCTGATTCAACGTATTTTTTATCCCGATACCGGTAATTTTACGCGGATGATTGAGAGGTATCTGATGTCAAAGTCAGTTGCACGCGAGTGCAGTTGTTTTGCACGTCGTGAGCTATAATTGCACGCCAGGAATTCTTATTTGCACGCGGGAATTTCTGATTGCACGCCCGATTTCTCGTTCAAAAAGGCCATGAAATCCAGACTGGCCTCATATTAAAAGATATCAATTATCAGAGTGAGTGCAACCCCTTCTTTACAAGACAGTCCTGCAGTCTGGGTTTCGAGCAATCTAAAGGAAGTGCAACCAGAAATGTCATCATTGGATTTAGTTAAAAAAAAATTTACTTTTTTGTTTCTTGTGGAATATCAAAATTTCAAACAATGTTAACTACAAATGTAATCTTACCTCGTTTGAATACAAAACGTAGAATGAGAGAAGAAACAGTGCAAATCCTGCAAAACTTCCCGCAAAATTGCTTCCGAGTTTTTCAAGAAATCCAGGTTTTTGACGAGTAGTCGTTCTAACAACTCTATCTTTAGGCATTCTGAGGTTTAATGCTAATATATTTCCTAATCTATGTAAAATTCACAGCTGGTAAATGATAAAAATATACGAAATATTGCAAAAGCCTCTGCAGCGAGAAACAACGTCAATTTTGCGTTGTGGCAGACAATGCAACACGTCTGCGCGGCAAAATTTTTGATTGACATGTCGTTGAAGAACTTCCGTATACCTGTTGCCAGATAGAATCGCATCATACCGTGAAAGCGCCTAACTTCGGACAGTTCCTAACTACTGACAAAAATTTTAAACGGTCATATCTTAACCAAAGTATAAGTATAAGTATAAGTATAAGTTTATTTCGACTCCATAATCAGCAAAACAATAAAATGAATGCTAAAAATAAATAAATAAAAAACTGATTATGAAATCAGGAGAGCGAACAAAACCTTAGATAAGGTTTAAAACGTACAGAATGTATATAAGATGGAAGGTTTTGCCAAGAAGATGTGGTACGTGTTCACTCACCTAAAATAATTGAAATATTTCACACACGCTCACACGCACCCACACACACAACCATATAGAAGTTATTAAGTAAAGGGAACATGAAAAATTACATACTGGTAGTTAATAAAAAATAAATAAAAAAAAAATTACTTGCCACACCATATTAATAAATTTATCACGATTGCCACTGCCAAATTGATCAATTTTATAAATGGGAGTGAACAGTAAAGATAAACTTTTATAAAAAAATATATTGTCAAGCTGATTATAGATGGAGTCAAATGCCAAAATGCCCAACCAAAGTTGCCAGAATTGGGTGCATGAAGAGGTGGGCTAGACCACTTCATTGCCCAGACTAGAGCCTATTATTGCCAAATTATAGTCCAGATTGCAATAAGTATTTAAATCTATCAGTAACTTTATAAGTATGAGTAATTATAATTAATTAAGGTAGAAAGACAGGGTATAGGAATATGTTGGTTGCTAAGGTTATAAGGTTTTTTTTTTCATTCTTAGATATTGACTTCTGCAAGGATAAAGGAATTAGCAATAAAGGAATTAGTATTGTTATTTCACAGGATCATTTCTTCATTTAATTATTGTGGCGTAATAGATGTCAATTCAAGTTTATCGTGGATGAGACATCAGCCTGCGAATTTTGTTGTTGTAGACACCATTTATATTCAATAAACTAGCCATTGTATTGATCATCACGTAGTATATGTGCGTATAAGTGCGTCGTATATTGCCAATTTAAAATATTGTAGGTAGCGCTGTTACATATACATCTATTCTTAACTTTTTTAATTTTGCATAATTATTTTTTTGGTCAAAAAACCGGAAATATTGCCGAAAAATGACTGCCCGGTATTCAACGGCACAGAGCGTGCTTCTACTCAAGCTATCGTCGTCAAAATACCATCATTTGGTAGAGGGCGATTACAATGTATATAATTTATCAGAGTGATCGCAAGATGTCGTACGAGATTTTAATAGAACCGAAAGTTCTGAATTATAAACTCAGTAAAAATATTGAGATTTCACGCTGCGTCAAAGGTTACGTCAACATCATGCAGATCAATTTTCGCTCACCTCTGTGACGACGTCACACTGCGTCGCGGAAATAAATTTTGACGCCCGACATAACGGCGCCAAATTGACATTTTCCATTTAGATAAAGACGGCGTTCCAGTGTAATATTTTTGCATTTTGTTCGGTCCATGTGTGAATATATGAATATATGCCAAATCACATTAATGAGAATATATGTCTTACTTAATCGACGACGTCAAAAATCGAATATATAAAAACTAAAAAAATTCCAACGCCTATACAGTTATATGGTACTGTATAATCTCTAACAATTATTCTATGCCTTGATATCGGAATGGCAGTTATTGAATAAAGCCTGGGTGAATTTTATTCACTCGGAGTGAAAATCAATTTAATTTCTAACAAAAATCTCGCGACCATCTCAAAGTTAATTAACGAGATTAAGTTGAAGATTAAACTTTGCAATCGGGTTGCCGTGTGTTTGATATAAATTTATCATTATTAAAAATAACAGCGTAACATCGACAAAGCTATCCGTCGAGAATATTAATATTTTAAAGACATACAATCCCGTTAAAATATTTCATTGTAAATAAAACGGTTTGCATCAGATAAATATTACGTATGTATTTCATGATTGAAATGACTAACGTGTTATTATACTGATATGACGTAACGAAAATAACGAACGAAAGATATAAACTTATGACGACGGAAGTTTCAAATAATGCATTTTCGTCGTGACGTTGATGTTACGTTACGACGCCGATCGAGCGGCTTATCTTCACGCAACATCGTGTTTACGTCACCCGCATCGGAAGCCTCTTTCCTTCAGTGTGTCGCGTTACGCAGTAGGAAAATGACTGTCCGAAGTTAGAGCAGTGAAGAATAACGGTCAGATGGCAAGAAAAATAGGATAGGATTTACATATTTATCCCGGGGGAAGGGAAATCCGATTAGGCGGCTTATCCATGTGGCGAACCACGGCCTCTCGTCCGGTTACCATTCCACGTCGGGTATGGGATTAGTTAGTTACTTGTCTTTCGGAAGAATGGACGGTGGAGGAAGCCATAACCGACCAGCGGTTACGAGAACCACCCTACGGCGGCGAAGAGTCTTATTGACCCGAAATTTGCTGGGAAAGTAAATTACCGCACGAACATTTTACAGGCGCCGCCTCTAGAAACCACTCCTAAAATTGGCTCCGAAAATTTTGCAATGGTGAGGTATAGGAAGAATTTTTGGAGGGTCAAAGGTCGTTGGACCAAGCGTTGCCACCACGCCTATAAATAAAATGAATAAAATACCATCACTTCTCGTGAGTATTCTATATTTCGTTACTGGTATTTGATCACCTATTTTTATTAAATGTAATTTTCTTTCGTGTTATTTGCCTTTTTTTTGGTGGTGACATGAGGGTTAAGTAATCAAGTTAAACAATAACTTTGATTGATTGAAGTTAGTTCCGGACGTTTTTCAGCTATGGACCTTTCCCCGAGCCTGGAATTCCTTGTTTACTTCGTGACATTGACCAATCAGCAAGATGCAAAAAGTGACGTAACAATGTTCCCTTTCGCATCCGCTCAGACAGATTTTCAAGCGTGGTCGTAAACACATTACCTCGTTTTCGCGTTTTTGAACTATATTCGTTAGTTTTCTGTCGTGTTTCGAAAACTTTTGAAAAACATGAATCATAATGATGGTTTGTAACATATACCCTATTTTACAGACGCCAACTTTTTGTTTTTATTTTTAATTTTGTTTTTATTTTTAATTTTTTTTTCACTTCTTTTTTTTAATTATTTTTATGTTTTTTCACAACTATTTTTTTTGTTTTCGGTTTTTTATTTTATTTTTTATTTTCAATTTTACGCGTGACAACGATGGGCCACCATAGACTTGCACGGGTCACGTGACTTTGTTACTGGACGGCAATAAATCAAAAACGTCCATTTGGCTCGTGTCAGTTGCAAGTCGAATTATACGTTTCCGTTTTGTTTGGCTGTTGAAAATGGTTATTTCGTATTGTTCCGCTGGCTGTACGTATAGTATAGACAACGAAATGGATCTTCAGTTATATTCCATTGTTATCAAAAGATCCGGAACGTCGCGCAATGTGGATATCATCTATCGGCAGGACTGCTTAAGTGTCAAGTCCAGAAGCCATCTCACTTGTGTTTCACTGTTTGCGGACAGCACTTCGTTGATGGTGAGTCATAATGTGCTGTTATCAATTTTTTTAAATATTCATAAGCTCCCTCATTTCAATGGAAAGCAGATGACAAACTACTGTTATTGGTAGGCCTAGGCGTAGGCCTACTTGCAGACTTGACTCGTGTAATGTATTAATCAATAATAGCCATAAGGTATTGTTTCCCTAGTTAGCAGGTAATCTATTAGTAAGTGTGAAAAGTTGAATAGATAACTAAAGTTTGAATTCACCATCTAAGAATACGCTCGCCACCGCATCTCTGATCCCCTGGGAGTTTCACAGCCAATCCATGCATAGTTATGCGGGGGATTGCGAGGGCTTCCTTCACTGAGGGTGGTTCACACGACCGCTGGTCGATTACGACATCCCCCACCATCAAGTCCATGCTTCTAAAACAAATAACTGGCTAACTAATCCCGACATAGAATGGTAATCGTACGATGTTGCACCTTGCAATCTGTCCCCAACCACAGATAAATTCTATCCTAAAAACTACCCACATTGGTAGGCATAGTTGCGTTTTAAATTGAAAGAAATCTTCATTAATGGTCAGAAGGTGTTGTCTGATTGTTTTGTTAGTTAGCAGGTAATTTATTACTGATCTGATACACAAACTTGGCACTGTCAAATGATGATTAGTGTTTAATTTATTTTCAGGAAAAAGGGAAGATAACCCATTATCAGCTGCTTATATGTCCCATCGATATTTGAATTTTCGCCATCCCAGAGAGGAAGAGAATAGTTAGAAAAAGGGGATTTTGAAGAAAGGCAAAAGGCAGGACCATTTCAACAAATTCTGTTAACTTGTATGCGTTGCAATATTAATTTGCAGTTGTTAGCATAAACATTTAATGTGTCTTTCGACTAGACCTACCACACTTTAAAAAAGCCGCCTACACCCCTTTTCACTAGAACCATAATACTGTAAAATATTTGATAGAAATTACCCCCGAGGCATCATATCTTCCATTTGAAAGGGCTGTGGAGGCAGATACATTTTTTACTCTAAATTATGGAATGTTACTTCCAGGTTATCTTATCCTTGCTTATAGATATCTTGAGGTTAGTGACTCCAACTGACCCATGCATGCCACACTGAAAATTCTCTTGTGTACCCATAAAATAAGGCTGTTGGAGCCTTCAGACCTTGAAAACAGTCGAATCTGAGCACGATGGATTCATGTGAAACACGTAATATGCATTTAGAGGCAAAAATATCCCATCCTGAGCAGCACCGATCCACATCCTGCCTATGGAATCAAAACATTAGACAAATTGGTGTACTGTGCGCATTCATCTTTTGCTGAAAAGTTTAGCATTGAAAATCACACAGTATCTGCAGATAAAACACAATTGTTTTTTAAAAATACATTTTTGATGTGCTTTATTTTTCAAATATAATTTATAATTACTGTAAAGTGTGTGATACATTTGGTACCATGAATACCATTTGCAAATTAGCTTGGGTTACACCCCTCTCAAATAAAAGTTTAGACTCTTAAGTCATATCTCATAATATTCTTTAAACAAAAGGTTGCGGCTAGCCGGCTACCCATCAGAATTTTCTTTCAGATCACAAAGTCGCAATATTACGCCTCGCTAAGTTTCATTGGCAACTGTATCTGGTTGTAGTATCGGTGTCCAACTTTAGACTGAAACCTTCACTACCAGACCCACCGAAACAATTTTTTTTTCTTGATAGGGTCGTCTTGAAGTTGCTTTCGTTAAAGCACAATGGACACTTTATCTCCACCAATCCACAGTAATCACAAGTTACTTTGTCATTACGATAAGCATCAATAAATGGATACTGAGGATGTATTATCAAGTCACGCAAGCTGAGGTCTTGTGCCACTGTGGTCTTGTTGCAACTTATACTTTGCCATCCATCTATTCCATGGTCGCACCCATATCTGTAAGATAATGGATACAGATAGAGTTTTCATAAAATCTAACGATCAAGGAGTGTGAAATTTATGTCCATATCCCACCACAGCCACTAGTCGTAAATGAATTTGATTCCGGGTAGCATATCTTTTTTACCAATGACAATAAAAAGACATTTTGGATCAGTTGTACAAGCACCATTAGGATAGGATTTATCTGGGGGAGCCAGTTATTTGTTTTCAGAAGCATGGACTTGGATGGTGGGGAATGGTCGTAACCGATCAGCGGTCATGTGAACCACCCTCGGTGGGAGTAGAGCTGCTATCCTCTCGCACATCCCCGCGTGGGATTGAAGCCTGTGAAACTACCAGGGTGATCAGAGATGCGGTGGTGAGCGTATTCCTAGATGGCGAATTCAATTGAATTCTGGTTATTTTTTCATGACCCTGGTGTTAAACTTTAGTTATCTATTCAACCTTTCACACTTAGTAATAGATTACCTGCTAATTAGGGAAACAATACTTATACTTATTATAGCAATTGATTATTAATTCCTTACTGTCTTACACAAGTCAAGTCTGCAACTGCAAGTAGGCCCACGCCTAGGCCTACTAATAACAGTAGTTTGTCATCTGCTTTCCATTGAAATGAGGGAGCTTGTGAATATTTAAAGAAATTGATAACGGCACACTATCACCACATTATCACTCACCATCAACGAAGTGCTGTCCGCAAACAGTGAAACACAAGTGAGATGGCTTCTGGACTTGACACCAAGCAGTTCTGCCAATAGGCAATAGATGATATCCACATTGCGCGACGTTCCGGATCTTTTGAAATCAGTGGAATATAACTTAAGATCCATTTCGTTGTCTATATACTATACGTACAGCCAACGGAACAATACGAAATAACCATTTTCAACAGCCAAACAAAACGGAAACGTATAATCCGACTTGCAACTGACAGGAGCCAAATGGACGTTTTTGTTTTATTGCCGTCCAGTAACAAAGTCACGTGACCCGTGCAAGTCCTCTATAGGAGGAATTTTTCGGGGGTGAAAGGTCGGGGAAAGGTCCATACACCTGCCTTGTTGTGATTATTGTTAGCACCGCTGTGGCTGTGAAAATCCGAGACATCTATCTACGGGTCAATCGTTTCATCAATCGTTTACGCGTCTTGGATGGCAGTTCGTATAGTTTGAAGGGCTCTATTACGTCACTGTGACGTCGTAATGACGTAATTTTTGGATGGTGTAATCAGGTGGAGGTTAGGATTGATACGTGAAAAAATTTTCATGCTACGCCCACTAGAAGTATGTTAGGTAAGAAACTACATGAGACCCCGAAAGTACGGCACCGTACATGAGATCCACTGCTTTCGGCGAGTACATACATTTGGTTGTAAAATTACAACCGGTTATCCGATTCAACACAAAGTGAGTAGGCTATGAGTTATATTCACTTTGATTCAACATATCTAAAGTTGTACTGGTACCACCGGCTAACTTCCGATGATTTCACTATACTTCAATCAATATCTCTGCCGTTTGTTGTCCAATTCGCGTCAAATTTGGGATATATTACATTGATGCAATTCTCTGCACATGTATTTAATTTTCTCGTCGATCGGATCATTTTTTCTGTCCTAATTGTCTCATTTTTCACTTCACCACTAAATATCTAACTTCGGATGGGGAATCACTTCAATGCGTCACCGCAACTCGAGAGAAAATTGCGTGCGTGAAGACAAAACACGCTTTACGTCGTTGCGAAAATGCCAGATGTTCAATCCACGTCGCGGGTGGCGGTGATAATGATGACCGTAGGATTTCTGGTGCGGCACTTTCAAGTTGTTTTTATACTAAAATGTCTCGTTTTATTTTCTCTTATCGTAACTTTAGATCCGAATATTCACCGATCATAGCCGATAATGTTTGGATAGCGTTTGTATATTCCACATCGTATATAGTCGCACGGTAAATATTATTGAGCATGCATATGACCGGATTCTTTACTAAATTGACCTATTAAAATGTTCGCCGTGCATAAATCACGACAAAACACCGATTTGGCAAAAATTACTTTAGTTAAATTCATTAAACGGAACTCACTTGCAAGTGTTGCAACAATGAGTCTTGTTATTTATCGCTGATTATATATTTTTATATTTACGCAACATTTCTTGACTGCTTACAATTTTTCTATTTTAAACCATGCTGCCGTTCCTCGACAAATCGAACGAGAATAATTTTCGTTAATTGCCATTTTAATAAATTTAAATAAATTACATTTCCAACATTTGACGGCATGAATTTAAGATCCACAGGAAACTGTTGATGTGTATATTTTAGCCGATATTGATCCAATCAACAAAATATCGCTGTTATTTTCAAAGTACGCCGACTCGTCGGGCCCGAATGTCTGGTGTTAAATCTGTAACAGCGACGCAACATGACGTCGTCTTCGAAGCGAGCGACGTCAGGGTGAGGTCGGTTTAATGTGTGCGTCAGATGCTATTATTTTGATGTAAAAAGACTATTTGAATTATAATTGTTTCTCGAGTCTCCTGTGACATCTCGCGATCAGTCTAATTTTGTATATACAACGGTAACGCCCTCTATCGAATGACGGTGTTTTGACGAAGTTAGCGTACCGTAGTTAGAGGTCACGATTTACGCCGCTCGAAAACGGAGTGTCAATTTTTTGCTAAAACGTGATTTTTTAAACGTGATCATGATAACAGATTTAGATATATAATATAAGGACTCACTATAGAAACTGCCAGAAGCACAATATGACGCAATTCAGTCGAGATTTAAACAATTGAAAATTTCATCCGAAGTTAGCCGGTTTTACGGTACGGCACCCAGGCACCGAAAAACGTTGTTATTGTCACTTTACTTTTATTACTGTTCGAATCTGGTATAATGTAATTAGCCTAGTACCGATTTCAGTTTTCTGAGCTCTGGGTTTTTGTACAGTGCAACTGGTGCTTGTTATCTCACAATATTGTTATGCAATGTCACTTCATTTTTTAAACAGAATTCTACAGTTTTTTGTGTATAAAAATGAGCGAGCAATCTATACCGGTACCGGTACAAGATATCATTGATGCTCTCAGTAAAGTCTCTGGTAAAGGAAATTGTACAGAATCTCAGCCAGCGATTTCAGATGAAGATTATGCTGCCCAAAAAACGGAAATTATCCATGTGGAATTACATATTGAATTTGATGACGATATGACATTGTCAAATGCACCTGATTTGCCTCCTTGTAACGACGATGAAGTTGTGGATTATAAGTTGACAGAATCTCCACTATTCGTGGAAAATGACGAAGATTCTGCCAAATGTTCATCAAAGCTATCAAAAACCAGTGCCCAAAATAAAGATTTACCTCGATTTAAACGCAGTTTGAAGAATCGTAAAAAATATCTGTGTAAAATTTGCGGAAAAGAATTTACATCAAAAGTGGACATGCATATCCACGGAATCAACCATGCACATCGACAGAAAAGAGTTCAATCAACCACGAAAAGGCGGAATAAACGAAACAACGAGAAAATGAAAGTTGATCATTCAGGCATGCAAAATGGCCTGATAAAACAATTAAAGAAAAACCGGAATAGATTGTTACAATCTAGAACTCAAAATACAGAACTGATTAAAGCTAATAAATTGATAATGTCACAACTTGCTGGAAGTGAGGGGAATCCCCTACAATGCAAAAAGTGTGGGGAGTTATTCTTTAATTCTCAGTTGCTACGAAAACATCATGTAAAGCATTCAAGATCTAAATCCAAACATGTTTGTTCAATATGTAAACGTAGTTTTACGTTCTCGGGGAATTTAAGACGGCACGAAAAGATTCACCAAAATATACGCCCATTTAAATGTAGCATATGTGGTTCTAAATTCACACAAAAGTCTCATCTGATATCTCATCAAGTAGTACATAGTAGAGAATCCGCTCAAGAATTTACCTGTAAAACATGCGGATCTAATTTTACACGGATGGGAAATTTACGACGGCACGAAAAAATTCACACCAATGAAAGACTTTATACATGCTTTGTCTGTAATAAATCTTTTTTGGAAGCCGGTCATTTAAAAGCCCATTATGTTACTCACACGAATGAAAAACCATATGAATGTGCAACATGTGGGAAAAGTTATGGCAGACAAGGGAATTTAATGAGACATATGAAACAAACTCATCAGCTTTAGAATTATGGCTGTGGCGTTGAGAAATATCTAACATCAACTTCAGATTTGAGAAAAATTTTGACTTTCACAAAAACAACTTTTAATAACAAAAGTTTTTCTTTTAAAAACTTTTGAGAGTGCATAACTTGCATTTTCAGTTTCTACGTAAATTCCTGGCTTTATCACCATCAAATTTCTCAACACTTTTTTGAGTTTTTTTGGAAAAAAATTTTTTAGCTTCCAAATTAGGACTGTGAAGTAGAGAAATATTTAACATCAACTTCAGATTTGAGAAAAATTTTGTGTGTGATCACTCCAAACTTGAGAAAAATTTAATTTGAGATTTTGACTCCCAAAAACAACTTTTGATAACAACCTTTTTTTTATATACTGTTATTAAGAGTGCTTAGCAAACTTGCTGCTTTTTTAGTTTCTTTGTAAATTTCTGATGTCTTCATTATCACTATAAAATTTCTTAACACTTTTGGTTTCTTTGGAATAGGAATATTTTTTATGTTTATTCTTGAGGTGAAGTCTTACAGATAATATGGCGATTAACTACTTTCCAGTTCAAGTCAACCAATTGATTGTTTAACATGGTTTTATATATATTGTGTGGCACCTTGTATACAAGTGTACTTAAATCAAGGTCTTGAATACTCAACTGAACGAGCGCAGATAAATGAGTTACAAGCAACCTCAGATGTGCTAAGAGCTAGAAATATGTTGTAAATGTCAGTAGATAACGGTTGACATGTTTGAAACAATTTATATCAGAGGCTGTCAGGGTAAAAGCAAAAACAAGCTTCTGAATTTGTTATGAATAGTAGACTGAACTTTGCTATGAGGCGACCGAGACTTTTGTGCATCTTAGATTACTGAAACTTGAGTACAATCATACACAAAGCATAACTTGGAGTGTTAAATAAATTTTCCTCATTCCTGCAAAGCGGCAGAAGTTGGATTCGATTTTTTTTCCTCGTCAATATGCCTCAAGTGTAATTTCAACACAATACATTCAGATACCCATTTTTGTACCTAATTTCTTGGTTCGCTGCCCATGTGGTCAATAAATTTCAAAAAGCGACACGTTGCGAGTTGGAGATCCCTGATATAGACAAACATACGTGGCCTTGACTAGAGTGGCACACACTTCAATGAAACTCACAAGAAAATGGAACAGGACAATTTCAGTTTGTTTTCCCGTAAATACTTTGTAGACTTCTGGATAATTACGATTCTGCTAAATCTTGCTTGAAATAAAACCCTCGATGCAACGCTCACTGGTTTATTTTACAGTGGAAAAAGAAACGCAGTAATTTAATATATAGAGAGATATCTGTGGCTCGATGAGGGAGTAATTTGACCAGAGCAGCTGATAGGTCCTGGATATGCTCAAGAGACATTTAAACAGGATGAAGTGGAAGGCGAAAACCCCGATTTTGATTTCCCAATACCGCATATGCTCGATTAAGGGCCCGCTTGAATACTCGCTCAATGTAGAAGCTGATTTTTCAGTGGTAGAGAACAATAGAAAATAAGAAGCGCCTTTGTCACAACGCTATTGAATTTTAAGCGCTGGTAGATAACACTCACGCCTTAGGCGTCCAAGTACATAACAGATAGCATTGATTACTTAACACCGTGGTTCTCAAACTGGGCGTCGCGACGCCCAAGTGCGTCGTTTCAATATTGATAGGGAGTCGCAAAACTTTTCTTCGTTCGTGGATACCATAATTTTTGTGTATAATTTTACTTTAAAAATAACAAGCGCCCGTGCATGAATAAGGGCCCGGTTAGTGAGTTTGGTTGAAAAAATATGGGCCCGGGCTACAAAACGGGCAAATACTTTAACTTTATGAAACAAATTTCATGTCCCATATCGAGTCTCGTTATAACTAAAGCAGTGAGATAAATAGCTCTGATTTGTCCTGATCAAGTACCAAGACATCACAACAATGAATGAATTAACCTGAGGAATCTTCCTGAAGAATTTTTTTGTGTCATTAAATGACAGCTCAGTTTTCAGGGAAATGCAAATATCAGGAGATAACATAACAAATAGAAGGTCTGGCCATGCTAAAGAGTAATTGGGGGAAGCGATGGGATCTCCAGTTTTATTTAAATTTCGCTGGCCAAAGAAAACAACATTTTGCACCCTCCACTGTCTCAGAATACTATGCATCAACAATAATGTGAATGTGAATACAATATAAATAACAGAAAGACATGAAAAATGTTATGTTAATTAATGAAGTGCGACTATTGAAATCCAACCACGCATTAAAGTTGAATAGAAAGATTTATAAATAAGATTTTCAAACAAACGAAATGCTGTTAGGGAATTATTCTCTACACTAGTTAGCAAATTAATATGAATCACTGTTAACAGTCATCTTTATTCCTGCTACAGCATACATGCATTATATGTAGGACTGGACATTTTTGAATATCTGTAGATTTTAGTATCCAAATGAATATTTTCTTCGAAACGAATCTCGTATACTGTGGAGATATTCGATTGTATGTAACATTTTATGGGTCCTTTCAGGCACATAAATAACTGAAAACATAGAATCCATCACTCAAAAAGTTCGCACAGAATTGCCACGCACAATACGAAACATGGTTCATCAATAACTCATTTAAGGCATTTCTCAGAATGGTATTGTAATAATATAACTTCAATAAAAAAAATTGAAGAATCCAACTTCAACCTTAGTCAGACAAAAATAGATGACCCAGATTCGAAGTTTTTGTCTGAACCAATTTGAAAAATTTACTTTTTGATTCGAAATGCCAAGCCCTATTTATATGCATATCTACTGGCACAAATACACAGAAGGGTAAACAGTGCGCAGCACGGATTCTTCCAACACGTTGAAATACATTATTTTACCTCAGTGTTTGAACACTTTCGGTACGTGAAAAATTAAACTACTGACTGAATGACATAAAATAGTTATCTCCACTCTTGCTACAGCATTATACGTGTTCACCAGTACAAACAATAGTTTGAAGAAGGATATCTGGTTGGTGTCACAGAAACCCTCAAACTGATATTCATGATTCATCACAATTTAAAACTTCACAGAAAAAAAGAAATTAAAGTGATTGGAAACGCGTGTTTTATTGAGTAGTTCAAATAAATGTCTTCAAAGTTCCATTAGGTAATGCAATTATCTTGCACTGTCACAAATTTTGCTCTGTAACATTCTATTCCATCTGACCAAAGTCAGACTTCCTTAGATAATGAGTTTACAACAATTAGTTAATCCACTAACACAAAGACAAGAGAAAAAAGACCAGTGGTTGGTTAGGTAAACGCACTACTTGATTTAAACATACAACTCAACATTGCTGTTTGCTCGTGCACCCCAGCAGTCAGTGCATGATGATCTACTGCCGTTTCAGCCCTGGGTCTTCATCACTGTAAGGCTAATCAATGGCTGCATTCTCTTTGCTTTCCTGATAATTTTTTTGTGTGGCCCAGTTAGATGTCTGAAGTTGGTTCTATGACCTATTGGCGCGGCGGTGTGGCTTATCGTGCTAAGCGTAAGGAATACGCTTGCCACTGCGTCTCTTATTACTCTGCGTGGATTTGTAGGTTTGAATCCCGTGCGGGGATGATCATGTGCGAGAGGATTACTGGACTTCTCGCCGCCGTAGGGTGGTTCATGTAACCGCTGGTCGATTACGGCTTTCTCCACCATCAAGTCATGGAATGGTAACTATAGCATGCAGCAACATAGCATACAGATACACTAACACAAAGAGAACAAAATAGTTTAGTAACATGATACTTCATTCAACCATGCAATGCCAAACCTTTGATATGAACATCTGTAATGTGAAGGAAATTATGGTGCAAAATTATTTAAATCTGGAAGTCACCATTGGCAGAATCTCCCGACAAAATGATAGCGTGATAATTTAAATATAAATGAAAGAAAGAATATTAAAATGAAACAGGAAAAGTGGTTCCTTTCAAATTCGCTGTAGTATTTGCGCCAGAGATACCATATTTTCCAGCAAATGAGACAATTTTTTGGAAACAATCTTTGGACCCGGTTTTATGGGGTCGTCTAATTGAGCAGTTATGCCTGTTTTGTTTTTTCTGCCGTCACCTATTTTCACATGGATGGTCAGAATTTTTTTTTTCTTTTGGGTATTTGGACGAATTAAAATATGAAAATCCGATATTCAATTCAAGGAAAACATTCGATTCGATTCTGAAATCCTACATTTTCACATTGATGGTCATTTTTTATTTGAGGTGTTTGGACGAATTTAATTATGAAAATTCGATATTCGATTCAAGGAAAATATTCGACTGATTCTGAAATTCTATTCCAAAATGCCCTATTAGGCCTGTCCCACAGTATCATGTCTCTTCTTTCTTTTTCCACTCTTCGTGTAAATCATCGATAACTTTTTTAATCTCTTCTCGTTTCGTTTTGCATTCGTCTGGGTCAAACCAGTCCAATATTTTAATCGGGGGTGCATAGCTTTGTATTGGTGCCTGTTATCAGAAGTTAATATTATAACCAACTTAAAAATACACATTGTTCATGAAAAATGTACAAGCAGGAGATAAAAATAAAATTGCACAGTGACTGAGCAGTAGCAGCATGTGTTTTACATAGACCAGGGTGGTCCAAGGTTGTGGGCTCCGCGGGCCACAAATTTATTTTTGCATTGTGGGCAAGAATAGGTGAACAGTGCAATACAAAACAAACACTTTTATTGTGCAAACACATAGTTATCAGACATAGCCATCCAATGCTAATAGAATCCGCATTCGATTTTTAGTTTTCTATGATGCCTATATCGTTAGCATATATTCCCGGCCAAAAAGATGGAAAGCCAGATAATAATTTAGACTGCCAAGCACATCATTCAACTTCGCTAGTTGCCTCAGCTAGCCGTAACACTAGTCAATTCAGTGACATTAGTGATGTAACAATATGTCAAAAGATTTTTCTGATTAGTTTTATTACGAAACAACACAAAATGCGATTTTCTGATTAATCTCCGAAGGGCATGCGGGCCACAGATAATGAAGCAGCGGGCCACATGTGGCCCGCAGGCCTGGGTTCGGACCACCCTGACATAGGCAGTGATTATCGAAGTGGGGGTTCTGAAATCTCTAATTGCTGAGTTAGACAGTAACAGCCAGCATGTCCGATCAGAGGCTGGAAAACACAGGTCTTCAAATGGCCAAAAAATGTGTTCAAGCTAAGAAAATATTGCTCTTTAAGGTCGGATGAGGTCATTGGATTGGAACGTTATCCCACAAATCAACCTTTGAAAAGGCTACACGAGCTTGGACTTCTAGGTTAAGGCACTGCTCTGAAGTGCATGGACAACATTTTGAGTATCTATGAATGTAATATATCATAATACACCTTTGAAAACTTGGTAAAAGTTATTTTTGTAAAATTAAATAGCTTTTCGCCAAATTTTCTGTTTTTTTAGCAAGTCCGGAATCATACCCAGTTTAGCATCACCCAATTCCTTACACTGTGGGAGTGGGCCAACAACGCGAACAACTTACGCGAAAAAACTTTTCAAAATAATGCAAGAGAAATAATCCACAATCCGTATAGTTATCCTGCTGTGGAACAACTACAGAACACATTCGCATGCTGTCTTTATCAAACACTTTCGTTCCAAACGATTTCGATTTTCTGGTTTTCCATTCCATGGTGAGGTACCTAGAAAAAAAAAATTAAATTTCATGGGGGGGTTTGATACTACCATTCTGGGGAATTCCCTTTTTCATTTTTAGTCGAGACTTGGGTTTTTCCCTTAAACAAATTAACATGAAAGCCTGTTCATAGATAGTTCTTAGTGTGTCTGTAGTCGTTTGCAATTCTTCTTTTTGTACTTTTTCCGGCACTTTCGTAGTGTGTGTACCAGGTTAGGGTTAGGGCATAATTTTTTTCTGATTTCCCTTATTTTGGTTCTATTACGAGTTCGGGGACTGTCTGTGTTAGCTAAGTGAATATACCCCCTGCCCATAGGTTTCAGTCCCTTTGAACAACTTGATGTAAAATAGGCGAACAAAATTAGTTACCTCTATTATTGGTACACATACTTCTGGAGCGCCCTTTTTACTACTTGAATTATATATTGGACCTCCTGAAGTATGCGCACCAAGATGGCGCACAACCTGAACTCAGGTTGTGTACCAGATTAAGGTTCAGGTTGTGTGACGTCTTGGTGCGCATACTTCAGAAGTACCTATATATTTTTATGTATCATAATCAAGTGCGCAAACCACTGATTTCCTAATGCCTAATAGTGTGCAGCAACCAATTATTGACAGGCCAATACTTAAGAAATTATATCCTATGCTCACAATCCTGCTGAGAGTGGAATAAATTTGGTAGTCAATACCGAATTGAAAAGATTATGGTCCATACAAATTCAGGTAACTAACTCATTACGTTTTGTTGCTGCTTGTGGGAGTCCCTATTTGAAGTAAATGGCAAAAATTATCTTTGAGGCAAAAAAAAATACTCAGGCAGGCCAAGGGTTCAATGAGACTTTGCTTAGGAACGTTCGTGCCTTTGATAAAAAAGAAAAATAGCGTCAACTGTTTAATAGTTTAAATCAGTTATGCATAATCTTCCTATATTTAGTAGTTTAGAGCTCGGGACCTTACTTCAAGCCAGGGGTTCTCAACCTGGGGTTCGTGAACCCCCAGGGGTTTACAAGAAGATTTCCAGGGGTACTTGGACGGCAGTCGAGTTTTTGTATGTTGCTGTTTTTTTAATATCCTTCATTACTACCAGAGGAAATTGCGTGCCCATTGAAACTAGATGCCAGTTGAAACGTAGATTTTCCCTGATCTTGCGTTGTTGTGATTATGACGCAACAATGTGAAATTCACGGCTTTGCAGGTAAACTGTGAAATCTTAAAAGACAGCATGCTGCGAGCATTGGAGAAGGTGATTATGCTTATCAAAACTTGGGGGAGATTTTAAGAATTCAATAGTTAGGCAGACGACAAGGGCAGTAATATCAACACAAAGATTTAATTTAGTTACATCTGGTCAATAAATTGTTGTTTCAACAAATCGTTAGTCAATATATCACAACTTTGTTCGGTGTCTGATTACCGGGGGTTCGCGTTGATTGTTTCGTGACTCGGGGGATACTTGACAGAGAAAAGGTTGAGAACCCCCTGCTTTAAGAAAACTAAAAAAGGAACATAAACAAGCCGCCACTTACTCTCTTAGACTTGCTGCTATCTTCGATCTTGACGGTCCTCTCAGGGAGTCAAATACGAGGATACATGGACGTTTGTAGACTGCGGAAAAATATGTGAAACATGTTTTTATAAAACAATGCACAATAAAACAATGGCCATCATTTTGCTAGCAGTCCAAGTGTGGGTGAAGACAATAGTTCCAGATGCATGGACTTAGGCTAAAGCAAGGGTGTGCAACATTTATCGTCGGAGGGCCAATTTCAGACATCTAGCTGGACCACACAAAAAATTTAGCGGGAAGGCAAGAGAAAAGCGGGTATCGCTTAGCCTTACAGTAATACAGGCACTGGGCTAACATTCATAAATTTGTGTCTTAATATTAACTTCATTCCTCCCAGAAAAATCATTAATAGAAAAATTTACCCCAATTTCAACAAACCTGTTATACTCTCCTTATGCTGTTCTTTACCAGACGTAACTTCACTGGCAACAGAATTCCCACTATCAGAGGTAACACTGGTAGGTACATCACTCTTATTGTCTGTTTTTGCTTGAGAGTTTTCATCTGTGCGTTGGGATGCATTTTCTACCACTAAATTGTGTTCGCTCGAGTCGTTAAATTTTGTTTCTGATAGAATGCTATTATTTGAATTATCAGCACCATTTTCTGGCGCCATCGAGTTTTTATTTGATACATTATCGGCCGGCCCCGTTATTTTCCTTAGAATCTATTGATTCAGATTTTTGGGTAGAGGTGTTGGGTTTTGGTAAATCAGTGAGAGTACTTTTCTTTTCAGTACCAATCTCTGATGACATGGCGGAATTTGGAGATGACTCGGCAATTTCGTTGTTCAGTCCAGCGGAACAATCTTTGCCGCACTTGACTGAGTTCGTTGGAACACTGTTTTCGGTATCTTCAATTGCCGATTCATTTTTACTTGGACTTGTCTGTGGTGATTTTGTATCAGGTTTCGGGGTCGAAGGTTGGAGTTCAAAGGTTGACAATTCATGACTTGAAGTTTCAAATACTAAATGTAATGAAGGTTCATCAGCTGGAGAGTTCATAGAGTTTTGTGATGTAACAATCGATGTTCCAGATGGCTGACTTTCACAATTTGACGTTGTTCCGCTACACTGCTCATTATTTGATAATTTATGCTGCACATTTTCATACGTCAATTTTTTTGGAGAAATTTTCTTGGATTTGGGCAAAAAAGTCTCGTTATCTGACGATAAAACAATTACAGACGAACAGTCACTAGAGAGCGACGAAGTGCTATTGATTATAATCGGTTTAACTATTGTCGGGCTTTGATTGGCCACACGAGGGAGCTGAACCCTTAATTTACGATTTGGACTGATGATACATCGCTGTTCGAGCTCTTGGATAACGTTACATTACTATGCTCAGGGGATACATAGAGTTCCGAATTACTTCATCAGAACAGCTCTTAGGGGAAGCCCCCTCCCTATTTTGTGAAGCGAGAGGAGCAGTCAGAGGCAGTAGGAGGTAATACATGACTAGAGTGCTCAATTTTTGTGGGAAAAAACGGAAACATTTGTGAAATGGGCGGATCGCCTGTTGAGTCACAATTACATATCAGTCATGCTCGAGTGATTTCCACCTTCAGTAACGTCAAAGTTTCATTTTCTGATAGAACTTTTATGCTGATAGGTCATTATTTATAAAAAAGTGATGAAATCCATCACTATTTGACAATGCTGAGACTGCATTTTTTGCAGAGTTCTCAGAAATTGAGGTAATTTTTAGAATCTCAGTCGAGTTGTTATGTTTCGTAATCATATCGTCACGACTTATTTCCATCTCACTTGACTCGTCAAAATTTAGATCGTCTTGTTTAGTTTGCCCACTATGTGGTGATACAGAGTTGTTTTGATCGTTAAAACTTGAATCTACTTGCTTTATTGTAGTTTGAATAATATTGTGACAACCACTAGGTGATGGTATAGAGCTTTTGTCACCAGAATTTGAACTACTTTGTATTTCATCAATATCTGATTCCACATTTTCACAAGATTTTTTCTCTATTTGAAGAGAAGATTCCATCGTTATTGTCGACAATGCATCAATTTTGTCTGTCGTGTCATTTATAAAATGATCGCAGTTCTTCAATGGCGATTTGGGTAAAATATTGCGATTGTTTGAATTCTCTGGAGAGTCCAAATGAATAGGTATCAGACGTTCTTCAGAATTTTCATCACTATCTTTTGCACCTATTTTGTCTGTCACGTTAGTTTCAGAACGATCGGGACTTTTCGGCGAGGATCCGAGGCCGAAATTGTGTTCGCCAGACTTTTCCAAAGTGTCTGAATGTATGGGTACACGCCGCGGCCCAGAATTCGGTTTTATTTTTTTACGATGTTTAAAATTTGGTAAATTAATTAAAATTAACTTTTTCCGTTTATTAGTGTGGATACCAGGTTGCGAGTCAAGATTTGGTGAAATCCCGTGACTTTCAGATGACCTTGACTCTTCCGAGTTCGGTGACCTTTGATTCTCATTTGAACATTGATCTTTTGAGTCACACTTCCTGGAAATTGACGACCCTTGAACCTCATTTGAACTTTGATCTTTTCCTTCCAACTTCCTGGAAGTTGATGACCCTTGACCCTCACTATCTCCCTCTTCTCCATAGAAAGATAAATACTGCATACTTGAAGGCAAGGAGGATGCCGGATCAGGACCTGTGAAAAATATTAATGTCTTTATTAAATTTTTGCATGTAGCTTTGAACAATACTTTATGCAAGCGGCCCAGGATTGGTTTCTGTGTTTCTCAACCTTTTTTAGTGTCAGTGCCAAATTTCAAACCCTAGTGTTGTAGGAAGCCGCATGAAAAACAACGGAAATTAAAATATGAACAAAATTCAAGTTCCATATACCCTCGCATATAAGCCGACCCTACAAATCGTAACACGCAGAATTCACCAACACAGCAAATGGTTGCAGAAGAGAATTAATGAAAATGATAACGATTATTGTTGTGTTTTACTTTTAATAATAACAGTAAGAAGTGTCTCAAAATACTGTCATAGTGTAAACAAGCAAGCGCTCACGTGTATGACAACCAATCACGGACTGTTATCACTGGTATGATGTACCAAGCGCTGCATCGAGTGTGTGTGTGCACTCGTATTATGAGAACTTAGCACGTATAAACCGAATTTTCAGTGCGATCAGAGTTATGCGTGTATCAGTCGATCCCTTTTTTTAGTTTTCAAACTCGTTTCATATGTGAGAATACATGGTATGTATTTTACAACAAATATCGGAGTAAAAAACAATTTAACACTAAACTAGACATTGGCTTTGACTTTTATTGAAAGTCTGGAAAAGCGAGCTACAATCGTGATAGATGCATTCACCAGCAATATATATATATATATAACAACAGCTACCTTCATATTTCCATAATGATCTATTTCAAATACTAAAATAACTCTGATATTGTAATCATGTATTCTTGGTTGTATTCATGTACCTTGGTTAGTCGGTTCTTCAGATTTCGCAATTTTCTGACATTTTTTTTCTTCCTTTTTAGTTTTCAGCATTTTTGGGGCCATATTTTCTGTGGTTTCACTAGACAAACAGATCATCTCACTGGCATCCATACCAGGGAAGCATATAACAGCTATATACCTGAACAAGTGAAAAGAGATGATGTAGAATTTTTGGTACTCCTGAAGTATGCGTACCAAGATGGCGGACACCGGAACGTTGTATGTGTACCAGGTTTGGATTAGGCAATAATTTCAGGCACAAATATTACGGGACCCACTTGGCTAGTCCTTGAACTCGTAATAGAGCTAAAATAAGGAAAATTGGAATAAATTTATGGCCCAACCCTGACTTGGTACAAATACTTCGTTCTGGTGTCCGCCATCTTGGTACGCATACTTCAGGAATACTGAATTTTTAGGATTGGCATTGGTGATTGATAGCTGATCGACACTGACTTTATTTAAATGAATGCTCATTTAGATGAGATTTCAGAGATGAGTCTTTCTTACTTTTGAGTGAGTGGTGTAACTTTGCTCAGAGATGAGTCACCTTTACTTCTGAGTGAGTGGCCGTAACTTTGCTCAGAGATGAGTCTCCTTTACTTCTGAGTGAGTGCTATAACTTTGCTCAGATATGAGTCTCCTCTACTTCTGAGTGAATGCCCGTTACTTTGCTCAGAGATGAGTCTCCTCTACTTCTGAGAGAGTGCCATAACTTTGGTCATAGATGAGTCTTCTTTACTTCTGAGTGAGTGCCATAACTTTGCTCAGATATGAGTCTTCTTTACTTCTGAGTGAGTGCCCATAACTTTGCTCAAAGATGAGTCTTCTTTACTTCTGAGTGAGTGCCCATAACTTTGCTCAAAGATGAGTCTTCTTTACTTCTGAGTGAGTGCCCATAACTTTGCTCAAAGATGAGTCTTCTTTACTTCTGAGTGAGTGCCCATAACTTTGGTCATAGATGAGTCTTCTTTACTTCTGAGTGAGTGCCCATAACTTTGCTCAAAGATGAGTCTTCTTTACTTCTGAGTGAGTGCCCATAACTTTGCTCAAAGATGAGTCTTCTTTACTTCTGAGTGAGTGCCCATAACTTTGCTCAAAGATGAGTCTTCTTTACTTCTGAGTGAGTGCCCATAACTTTGCTCAAAGATGAGTCTCCTCTACTTCTGAGTGAGTGCCCGTAACTTTGCTCAGAGATGAGTCTCCTTTACTTCTGAGTGAGTGCCCGTAACTTTGCTCAGAGATGAGTCTCCTTTACTTCTGAGTGAGTGCCCGTAACTTTGCTCAGAGATGAGTCTCCTTTACTTCTGAGTGAGTGCCCGTAACTTTGCTCAGAGATGAGTCTCCTTTACTTCTGAGTGAGTGCCCGTAACTTTGCTCAGAGATGAGTCTCCTTTACTTCTGAGTGAGTGTCCGCAACTTTGCTCAGAGATGAGTCTCCTTTACTTCTGAGTGAGTGCCCGTAACTTTGCTCAGAGATGAGTCTCCTTTACTTCTGAGTGAGTGCCCGTAACTTTGCTCAGAGATGAGTCTCCTTTACTTCTGAGTGAGTGCCCGTAACTTTGCTCAGAGATGAGTCTCCTTTACTTCTGAGTGAGTGCCCGTAACTTTGCTCAGAGATGAGTCTCCTTTACTTCTGAGTGAGTGTCCGCAACTTTGCTCAGAGATGAGTCTCCTCTACTTCTGAGTGAGTGCTGTAACTTTGCTCAGAGATGAGTCTACTTTACTTCTGAGTGAGTGTCCGTAACTTTGCTCAAATATGAGTCTCATTCACTTCTGAGTGGATGCCTGTAACTTTGCTCAGAGATGAGTCTCCTTTACTTCTGAGTGAGTGTCCGTAACTTTGCTCAGATATGAGTCTTCTTTACTTCTGAGTGAGTGTCTATGTGATCTAGTACTGAGCAAACTCATTTTATAAAAATTAAATTACATATCATATTCTCACCAGTGTGATGCTTCATTTATTGGAATAAATAAATAATCCTTCGAAAATATGTCGACGTTTCTCGTCCACTTCTTCACTTGATTATGACGGCGTTCTGCTGGGCTGTAAGGAAGAGAATAGAGGCTATTGGGATTGGTGTTAGAATGCCCATGACTGCTTGGCGCCATGTGTTTTAACAAGTTTTAAAACTTCTATTGAAACTTGTTAGAGTTAAGATTGATAAGTACAACGCGATGCTCAAATATATAGACACTAATGCCAAAACAAATCTCTTACATTACTGGTAGCCTACCTTCAGCTTAACAAAAAAACTTTCTTCATAAAATAAATGTTAGTGCGTTTGAAAAGAAAAAAAAGAGTCAAGTTAGATTTATAACCCCAATGAGATATTGAAAAAATAAAATCAATTTATCAATCGAAGTGATATAGTTATAGTAGAATAACTTATTTTTGGCAAAACCTTCCATTTTGTATTCTGTGCGTTTTAAGCGTTACTCAAAGTTTTGTCATTCTATCCAATGGGATTATTATTTTGGGGCCAAAAGTGTCATCAACAAATAGCATGGGGGGTTATGGGTTACGAGGGTCGTAACCCCTCGTTTGAAAATTTGAGTTTTCTACCATTTGAGTATCAATTTCAAGTAATCCCCCTCCCTCTCATTGAAAATATCTTGGCTGTACATCTGTCACGAATGTAAGCTTACCTTATGTCTTTATTTTTCAATTTATCTCGAACATTTTTCTGCATCAAACGTTCATAGAAAAAACAACTGAACATGTGAGTTCTCTCTCGATCGGAAGGAGACAGGAATTTATCATAAACATATCTGAAAATAATATATTACAAGTGCAATGAATTAGAATATGAGACCCTTGAATGTCCTTGATATAAGGCTTTATTCAACTTGAATCTAAAGCACACTTAGAATGAATCTGAAGCTGACATGTGGCCAAATCTGGCCCGTTAAGTTTTTCATTCTGGCCCGCCTGATGCTGTCACAGCCAAACTAAAACCAAATTTTGATGTTTCTGATCTAAAGTGAAATATAACACAAATAAAAACAAAGTCATTGAGGAAAAAAACAAATACGCATCGAATTACTGACCCTAGCAGTAAGTGGACCGATAGTGAAACGAGTATTACTTCACATCAAGTTGTGTAAAGGGACTGAAACCTATGGAAAGGGTTATATTCACTTGGCTAACACAGACAATCCCTGAACTCGTAATAGAACTAAAATAAGGAAAATTGGAACAAAATTATGCCCTATCCCTAACCCTATACTACAGGAGTACTTAAAATACAAATTGGAATATTACTGAATAAATATTTTCTGGTGCTGCCATGTTAACATGCACAACACAAGTTACTTTCATTGATGATAAATGCAGCCACTGACTTCAAATAGTACTCTCATACTTACTTCAAATAGAATTCTATTATGACATCATTCAGGAATTCCCCCTCATTCAAACAAAACTGATCAGCATTGCTAACTGAGATTCCTCCTTTGGTGGGAGGGGGAGGATAAACAAATAATCTGTGATAAAACAAAAGAGAAATGCTTAAATATAGAAATACGAGATAGCGATCAGAAACCACTGACTTATTGATCTTCTGCATGTTCAGTTAGGGGATCCCCCAAAACAGAAACTGCAGGTTCTATTCTTTTGCTCTGACTCAATAGCGACACTGCGTGTCCCATCACTAATTAATTAACTCGCTAGTTATACAACGTAATTCATCGAAAAACACTGGGCTTCTAGTCTGAGATATGATGATTACCGATCAAGATAGATAAGTAATGAGGGTTACGGGATATGTAATTGCCGATTTGGACGATAACAGCTAGCAGGTCCAATGAAAATTTTTTTTTTATATTTTAAAGGGGGGTGGGGAGTCGACCTTAACTTGGCTACGCTCCTGAGTGGTTGGCATGAAATTTGATCCAGGTAATCCTAACATGTCATGCCAACATTGAGAAAAGCAACTGGACCAATGAAATCAGAATTGATCATCTACAAAAATCAAACTGTGTAGATACAAAGTCAATTGAGAGTGAAACAATAAAATGAAGTGAACAGGCCAGTCGCCTATAATTACCAAAACGAAATAATACAATATCAACAAATCATCATACGTGACAGTGGGGGCTCAGAGCCTTGTTCAGAGTGGAAGTATGGAACCCCCGTCATGAAAAAAATTCAAAATCTTACTCTATCCTTGGCCCAGTGAACATAAACTTCAGATCATCTTCTGGCGACTCATCGTTTTTCTCATAGATCACAGGTATTGTTCGTTTCCTAGTCTGCATTTGGGTGGTGGTTGTTGGAGTCAATGCAGTGGTTGATGTAGCCTGCTGAGTGGTGGTAGGAGTGGGAGTCTAGAATATATACCGTATATGATCGCGTATAGGCCGAGTTTAAAACTCAAAAAAAAAAGTTGCCCAACTAAGGGACCGTCTTATGCGCGCATAACTCAGATAGCACCAAAAAATCGACTCCTTCGCGCATCGAGACTTTGATCACGCAACGAAATGATATAATGCTGACTTGCCGGTAATTGCAACAGCTACAGACCATGCTTAATTCTCACGATAAAGAGCGTGCTCGCACACACCACACACGCGATCGCTTGTCTAGGTGTGATTGTCTGATCATTAACGTGACCGCTTGTATTTGATTAAATTTAATTGTATCTTTTGCATAAGAGCAACAGCATTGATCTACCAGCCGTCTCGTGGTCAAAACGTTATCATTTGTGCACAAGTAAGAATCAGATAGAAGTGTCAGGTAGAATAATACTCACAGCATTAATTCTTAACAATAAAACTGTAATTTCAATCATTTTGAACAACCATTTACGGTAACTGAAGAGTTGAAATAACATATGAATATGATGTGATAAATACTGTGCTGTACGTCCATGGGTTAGGCAACAGCTGTGTTTTCGGTTTTTTCCTGAATCAGCAAAACGGAAGGGACATAAATCAATCACTTTATTTCGTGGTAGCCGTTTTCTTTCTGAAGTGCCGTTATCGGGCAGGGAGTGCTTCATTGCACCGGCCACGTTTTTGTTTTTAGGATTAAAACAAATAACAGCTGGTATACAAAGTCAATTAAATAATCGGCAGACACTTTGGCATACATTATAAAATATATCAGCCCATATATGACGCTCACACAAATCATGTTTGAGAAGACTTGCGAAAAATAACCAAATTTATTGCCGTGTCCGCTCAGGATATCTCGACTACCTTAATATAAAATAATGATTGTAAAATATTTTCAATCAAAAATGTCCTCATGTTATACGTTTGGTACTTCAAGTCGGCGCTGATTTGATTCCTTTCATGTTGGCAGTAATTCAGTTGTGTCGCAAAGTGCTGTCTTCCATTACGATAAAACAGAAAATATAATCGAAAATTGTTTTAATCAAAATGTGGACAGCGGCGCTAGAATGTGTGTGCCATATACAAGAAGGTAGCGAATCGCGATATTTGAATATTAATTTTGAATTGAACATCATTGACTGTAATAGATGCGTGCGCGTGTTACGATTTGTGGAAACAGCGTATATGCGAATTTTTATAACTTCACTATTTCGAAGCTGTTATTAAGGAGTCGGCTTATCCGCGTGATAGGCGTATATTCGAGAAAATACGGTAAGTATTTTTAGGATTTACTTGATCAAAATAAGAATTTAAAAAGGCATATACTATCATGAGTTTTCAAGAGTCTATGTGAGGGGTGCACAACCTTTTTGCTATTGGCGACCCCATTGCATTTATTTGAACTCAATACGGCCTCCAGGGGGTTGATGAGCGCGCCTCGGAATTTTTTGGCTTTTATGACGTCATAACCGCGTATTTGACCCATGCGAGGTGCAGTCTGCCCAATTATGAAGTATGTAGGACTACTTGGAAGTATAATATGCATTTCGGTGGACCTATTCTTGAGCAGATATATTGCAGCAAGTTGCATAATGATTCCACTATTTTAATAAAATGTCAAATATGCTAATAAATTTATTCTATAAAAGTTTGCACAACATAGCCGTCAAATCCTATATTTCGAACTTTTTTGTTTTGTTTTTTGTTTATAGGATTTTGTATGTGGACGGCCGCATTATTTTTTCACGACGACCGCAGATTGTGCACCTTTGGTCTTGAGGGACTAAAAGCAAAAAGCATTCCAGTCCACGTAAATTGCTACATATGATACAGGAAAATGCTTTTTTTTACATTTCGAAAGGAGAGGTTCCGACCTTCAAATTCCCCCCCCCCCTGGCTATGCCCCTGCAAGGGAATACTCTCTCAGTGAAATGTCAGTAGTTGCAGCCTTTACCCAGTCTTGAATATCTTGGGGGCAATTTACATCGCAGGGGGTGCGCAACCAATTTTAGGGATCGCAATGAGTACACCAATTTCACACAAAGTACTATATCTATTGTACTTTTTTGAATTATCGATTCGAAACAAAATTATTAAAACTAGTGCAAAACATGAATCTCGCATTCTGAGAGTATACATAGGATCAGAGAAGCGGCATGATTGCATAACAATGTCGACATAACAGGGGTCCCGAAAAATTTTATTAAAATGGAAGAGGTTGCGAGCTTAAAGTTTGGGAATCCTTGTCTTACCTCACTCACTGAAGTCTCCATACTTGCAGCCGCTCTGCTTTGTCTCAATTCTGATTCAGCGAAAGTTATATGTCGGAAGAATGACTGAAAAAAAAAATACAATTTCACGGGACTTTATCGCTTTGTGAGACACTGTAATGAGGATTGAAAAATACTTACCGAAGGTTTCTTCATTTTTTTACGAACTAATTCCACTTTTCTTAATAAAGTTTCAACATTACATTGAGTACTTGAACAAAGAAAAGTAGCGCTGATATAAAAGATAAACAACCTTTCGTCATCTGAAAAATATGAAAAGATTGATGAAACTTAGTCAGGGATATATCCAAGAGAGTTACAAGTCGTAACTATGTAAAAGTTATTCTTTGTAAAAATGAATAGCTGTATGACAAATTTTCTGTTTTCCTCTCTGGGTCTCTTTTGAATGGACTGAAAAATACTTTGTTGTTCGTTTGCCTCCATTTTACTATCAAACCTCGCTAAATTACAAGCCTACTGTCAAACTACGGAACGTGCGAACTTCTCAATTAGGTACCATATCACCGTGTTTCCCCGAAAATGAGACATAGCCTGAATTTTAAAAATGATTTTAATATAAGCCATACCCTTAAAATAAGACCTAGTCAATAATGCGATTTTTTTTTTGACCTAGTCGATAGCAAGAAATCTCTCCTAAACGTTTTAAAAGATTGATAATCTATGTTTCGCAGTTGTAAAATCAAAAGACTCACCCTTCCCATCCGGGTCATAATACGGAAATTTCCCTTTAACCATATTCAAAGTCGCTCTCAGTGTAGGCAGGCAACCTATAATAGATGAAATAAGTTTTGAGAGATGTGTATGCCATTAGAAAGTGTATAATGAGGACTAAAAAAAAAAGTTCACAAATAATATTAAAGTGAAAGCCTTGTGGCAGACACTTCAATTCTTAACAAACAATTGGAGAATTCTTGTATGCACAAAATTTGGTTTCCCGGGAATTTAGAATCAAAATTTGTTAATTTTCGTGGGCCAGCGTTTAAGTGCCAGATTTGAGTAATTTTCCATGGATTCACAGTCATTTATTTCTTCTCCATGCTGAAAATATGAACTACACATACACAAATAAAAGGAAATATGAAAAAATCGCATTCCAGGGTAAAAGTAGAGGCCGAAACCAATACTGGTTATCAAGCAATTGCACCCTTGGGGAAGTCTAACAGAACGCCAAACTAAATATGTTATTTAATAAAATGTAAAATGCAATAGGTACGTCAATGCAACCTGGGACATACCAAGCAGTCACCGTTTCAACAAGAACAAGTTGACTCCAAGCACCACAGTCTACGTAATCATTGTAATTATAGTGTGAGACAATCTCACAATGTTGTCATGGCGACCTAATTCAACAACGCAATACGTACCTTGTGTGAGCACCAGGAATATACAAGGTTCTCTGCTATCTGTGCAAATGTCACAACTGATAATCCACTTCCAATTTATTGTCAGAATAACATTGCTTTGTAAAGCTTGGCTGAATGCTGTCATGCTCAACGACTCATGTGAAATCTGTGAATAAAACAAAAGAGAAGACCAAAGTGTTAACTGCATTTCTGGCAACTTTTATTTCCAAATTGGCTGGCTAAGCATTAGCTATACCAGGAGTGCGCAACAGGTGGACGCCGGTCACAACCCAACCCACCAAGTCATTTAGTGTGGCCTTTCTCAACACTCAATGATTTTCGCAATCAAGCATAAAATCTAATCCGACAT